TTGTGCCATTGTATGACTGCCAGTGGGGGGCACTTCATTGAGTAGAGAAAAAGGTGCACGCCTGATCTGCCTGCAGAGCAACGTGTTTGCACTGATGGTTCGAAGCAATCACTGGAAGCATCTTCTTGCCATTTTTCTAGCTGTCTCTGCCAAAGAATTTATAGGGCATAAACATGATATGCTGTCGTGGGGGGGAAAAAAAAAGTCAGGGAAACCAGCCAGGCTCTGTATCCCATGCTCTTCTGAATTTCCGATAATACAGCCCATGAGGCAGGAGGAGGGCCTGGGGTTCTGCTCTGCTCTGCTCCTCTCCCCAGGGTGTCAGATACGGTGAGATTTGGGGAGCACTTTTGAAGTAGCTTTGAAAGCCTTGCAATGTAGAGCAAAGGTGAACTGGAGTCGGGGAGAACTAGTAAAAAGAGGAGGTGTGCTCTCTTGGGTTCATTTATTCTTCTGGTCATCCATATAAAAATCATTCATTTATTCACAAAACGAAATCTACCATAATAGTTCTCTAAATGTCTAAGGAGTGCTCTTGTGCTCAACAGGAACATCTTAGAATTCATTAGGTTTTACTGTTCAATTTACTAAAGCTTTGATTTTTAAACCTAGGTTTTCTTAGAAATCTCACCTATAAACCAAGTGTTTTTGTATAAATTAAGATGATTTCCACTTGTTATTTGATTAGTACTTTGTTAATTTAGATTGAACAAATTGAATTTTGACAATTAGTACTGTTTGGAAACCTGGATAATTAAATTTCCTTAAGTATTTTCGATATTTAAGGCAAGTTCAACATGCCTGGTTTCCTCAAGTTCTTCAAACATCTGACAGGGTGGACTTACCAGCCTAACAAGCAAAATCTTTCTAAGCACTTAACTCTTGCAAATCAAATAAACTAAAGTTAAAATGTCATAAATTAAGTTTTCTCAAACACTGTAATTCTTTTTTTACAGGCTGACTCCCAATCCTTAAACCTTTCATCTTAAAAATCTCAAATCAGAAATGAGGAGTCATTTAAAATGGAAATCAGAGGACTGTTTTTATTTAGATTCCTTTAATATGCCCCATATTCTTTTAAGTATTATAAATATACAGAGATTACCCCAGTGATCACAAAGATTTCATCCTGTACTTAAGTATTCATATTGTGATTTACTCCCTCAGCTCCCCTCCTCTTTTTAAACCTTCCCAACGATTTAAAGTCATTTGCTCCCAACGAAGGGGAATAGGTTTGTCATCTCCAGTGGGCTCCCAACCATCATACGGGTTCAAGAGCAAGACGCAGGGATGTTCACATAGTATTCCAGAATGGAATGATTGTTCCAGAGCCATAGCTGGATACACGGTAGTTCTTTCCGCTGTGTACCCTGGGTCCCTTGAACCTCTTAGCTGGAATCTCATTTGACCATGCAGCCAACACAGATCCTTTGTGTTCCTTTCACATTTCCGTTGTAATCCATTTCTGTAACCCCTTTCGACATTGCTCACTTGGACCTGGGTCAGTGGACTTTGGTACCCCGGGTGCAGGTTGTACCTAATTGCCTTTGCCACTTGATTTGATGCAACTAATGTTCTTCCTGCCTGAGTGAATTCTGCATGCTTTCTACATTTTTCCCATCTGACTCTTCAGCCACATGTCTGGAGTCATTTTACAAACAAATGGCAGTTCCCAGTTCGGGAGCACAAATACACCAGGTGACAGAAACCAAAGCAAACTAGTTTTGAGCAAAAGAAAGGAATTTATTAATTCTCACTTCCAGCCACCCAGGGGGTGCTTCTGTCTCCCCAGAGCCTCAGGTGTGGCTGGATAGAGGTGCCCATGTGACAGTCATTCCTCTCGACTCTGCTTCCTTCTGTGCTAGCTGCCTTCTCGGGCAGGTGAGGGCAAAGTGGCCCCTGGAGGTTCAGACTCCCTCTGCACCTCTTGCAGAGTTGTGCTTGGTTCTTCTCGGCATCTCCTGTGTGGTCATGCAGGCTGGGGGAGTGCTGTCGTTAGGCCAAGTTAAAGAGATCATTCCAGCCCTTGACAGCTCTTCAGAAGTTTATGGGCGCCGTGAGTATCTGAGAGGGGCCCAGAAGAGCCAGCGTCTGGCCCACGTCCCCTTGTTAGGGCAGCACCGTTACCCCAGGGCAGCTCCTGCAAGGACTTTACCTTCAAGTCCCATCTTGAAACTCACTGACTCTGATCTGGGTGGCTCGTGATCCCTTACACCCTGAATTTGGGGGAGAGGACAAGTGGGAAGTAACTGATTTTTACATCCAAACGGACTTGCCAGTATCCCAAAAGATCCAGAAGGGAGGGAGACATGGCTGGTTCTCCATATGCAGGGACAGCTGGTCTCTGGCACAAAGAGAGCTTCTTGCTCAGCCCGGGCTGGCCTCGGTGTCACTGCATCCTCACGCCCGGGGCCCTCACGCCCGCCTTCCGTGGCAGCAGCCCCTGGCTTCTCCCCATCCGGGCCGGCTCAGTCAGGGCAGCCCCAAGATGCTACGGGCACCGATGTGGGAAACATCACGTTTACAATAGGCGCCACATGCCCTTCTGGAATAACAGCTTGGTGTTGAAAGGCCATACGGGAGGAGCGGGTACAATTTCAAAGCAAAAACTCCGGGGCTTGGATTCATGGGCATCTGTTACTAACTTCCCGCCTTCTCCCTGCCAGCCACACTCCTCTCTTCAATCCTCTTTCTTCTTCACTGGATTATAGGAAATTTTAGATATATTAAATTGCTAACCCCAGAGAGCAGATGCAATTAAAGACTCCTGTGACTTTTTTTTTTTTTTAATCGTCATGAGAGCCGATTTGGGTCCTTTTTCATCTGTTAGGTCATGCTCTCCCCAGCAGAGCTTTACGTGGTTGCCAGCCTAGTGGTATCATCCACGTGTCCCCCGTAAAGAAACTGCGGCCTAGGAGTTGTGGCTTGTCAAAGAATGAGCTGGGGGGAGGAGGCCGAGCTCAGAGGCCACAGATGGTGGTAACTTATTGTCGGAGCTTGTCCTGTCTTTCCTCTGCATAGGATTTCAGCCCAGAGGGGTTTGATAAGCACGTACCACGCGCCTGGAGGCAGAGGGGACATGGCTCACAAAGGGGTGAGGTTGCCATTGCTGCAGCATCGCCCTGCAGGTGGAGGCGGAAGTGCGGAGATGGCCCGGGGATAAGACCCTCCGAGCCTCGAGCCTCGGCCTCCTCCCGAGGGAGTGAGCCATGTCATGTTCTGGTGTGCCCTGAAAGCTGACATGGTGGAAAGCCATTTGGCACCACAGTAAAGAAGGTGGCTCTGGAGTCAGAACGGCTGGACCCAGGTGCTGTTCCATCTTTTACTGGCTGTCTGGTCCAGTGCAACCTTGCCCGCCTGCCTTTCTTTTTTCTTTCAAAGATTTTATTTTATTTTAGAGAGAGAGCACACACGTGAGTGAGGTGAGCAGGGGAGCAGAGGGAGAGGGAGCGGGGAGGAATCTCAAGCTGACTCTGTTCTGAGTGCAGAGCCCGACCCTGGGCCGGATCCCATGACCCCAAGACTGCGACCTGAGCCGAAACAAGAATCAGGTGCCCAACCAGCTGAGCCACCTGGGCACCCCACCTTTCTTACCTTTCTAAGCCTCAGTGTCTCCACCTGCACAATAGGAAAACAAGAATACTCACCTTTTCCCACTAGATCAAGTAGATCAGGTTATATTTATATACGAAGCTTACTTTGTAGTTCACTCGACTTCTCACTCCCATGAGTTTAAATTCACAAGTATTTACTGAGCACCTGCTCTATGCCTGCTACCCTGCAACCAAACAAATGAGAAAATGTGGCAGGCTTGGTTGGGGTGCAGGACGTGGGCATTGTAGGCCCAGGGACCAGGGGAGGCCTTTCTGAGGAGGTGACGCTTGACAAGGAGGCAGGGGCGTGTCCAGGAAGAGGGACAACAACTGTAGAGTCTTGAACACAAGAACCCTGTTGGCATAGAAGAAGCCCATGCGACCGGAGCCAGTGAGCGATGAAGAGGTGGGCCCGAGGCAGGACTGGAGAGGGAAGTCGGATCGGAGGCTCTTGAGCACCAGAGGAAGGAGTTTGGGCTTTAAGTGCCTGAGAAGCCCCTGGAGGGGTAGTAAGCCGTGGAGCCATAGGATGTGATTCATGTTTCAGAACGATGGTCCTGGCTGCTGTTGAGAATGGACTGTTAGGGAAAAGTGGGGGCAGGGAGCCCAGCGGCCTCTTCGCGGTTGCCCAGGCAGAGCTGAGACCAGCTGGAAGTGCAGACAGCAGGAGAGGTGGAGGGCTGGGCACGCGTGGATACATTTTGCAGGTAGACGCCGTAGGACCAGGGGATGGGTTAAAAGTCTTGGTGGCGGTGGGACACGAAGAGGGGAAAGAAGAACCATTGTTTGGAGGTTGGACTTGAGCGGTAGGGGTGGCCTCAGTGGATTTGTGGGCTGGGAAATGAACTCTATTTTCGATGTGTCCTGGGATGCTGTTAGATTTAGAAGCGCTAATCGAATTGACAGGTGTCTGCTGACTTCTGGGGCTTTCCTTCCCTTGGCATTTCACTCCAGGAGTGGAGTCCAGAGAATTCGTAGAGCAGCTCATCTTTGCACTGTGACCCCGGAGAGAGTGCCGCTCTTGACTCTGTCTGCTTCCAGCAGTAGTCCCCAAGCCCACCACTCTTCCTCTGCCGCTAGGTCTGTGAAGTAGCCATTGGCTTCCACAGAGTTGCCAAGATGGAGTTGAGGACGGGGTAGGAGGCAGGTAGGGTCTTCAGCCCCCCCTGCTCAGGAGAGCACGCTCCGTGTGGGGGACGGTCCGTCTCAGCCACTACACCCAGCAGCCAATCCAGAACAGCAAGGATAGACGGTGCCCTGGAGGTGAGTCGCGTTAGAGGCAAAAGAACTTCGTCTGGGGCTTTATGACACGAGGTGCCTTCGGGGCTGGTATGCACTTGTCTGTATTGTTGGCCTGAGCTGACCCAGCATGAGGTTTGGGTGCTCAGGATGTGTTTGTCTCGGCAGCTGGGATGACAGCAGCTCCGTCAGCAGTGGGATCAGCGACACCATAGACAACCTCAGCACCGATGACATCAACACCAGCTCCTCCATCAGTTCCTATGCCAACACACCTGCCTCCTCTCGCAAAAACCTGGATGTGCAGGTAAGCAACAGGCTCCTCCTGCGGCCCCTGCCAGCAGGGGGCCTCGGGCTTGAGGACCAGGGGGCCGTTTGGGGTGAGCAGCATCCCCAGGTCCATGAGATGAGGCCTGATCACCTGCTCACTGCCTGTGCTCTCATCTCACGAGTCCTGGCCTCCACCTGCAGAGAAAGGAGGGGTCAGGCAGTGGGGCACTAGAAACAGGAATGGGGAGGCCTCACCGTTGTCTGTGAAGGTCTTGATAAAAACCTGTTTCCTTCCTGGACTTTCATTTCAGAATCTGTTTTTGTTTTGTTTTGTTTTGTTTTAAAGAGGATGCTGGACTCATTTGGTCATTCTTAGCCTGGAGTGTGTGTCCTCTCCTAGCCACAGTGAGCCACCGCTGTCCAGGGTACATGCCGATCTCCCCAGAGTGACGGGGTGGGAGCAAACGTTGACAGCCTTGGGCTGGAAGACCAATAGCTCCTGACCAGAGGCTGGGAAATGTTGGTCTGAAGGTCACGTCCTCATGCTGATATTTGTCCATTGGCTTATGGTATCCCCTTCTTTTAAACCAGATTCCATTTCAAGTTTTATATCTATCTATCTATCTATCTATATTTATTTATTTTAAAGATTTTATTTATTTGAGAGAGAGAGTGTAAAAGCAGGGGGTTTGCGGCAGGGAGAGGGAGTAGCAGACTCCCCGCTGAGCAGAGAGTCCAACGTGGGGCTCGATCCCAGGACCCTGGGATCATGATCTGAGCCGAAGGCAGATGCTTAACTGACTGAGCCACCCAGGCGCCCCTGATTCCGTGTCAAATTTTAAAAAATTGCATTATTTCACATGAAAATGAGATTCTGGTTTCATTTAAAGATCAGAATATATTGCTTTCTTGAGCCTACATTCTCCACATGGCAACAGTCAACAGGTGTCCCAAGTGTCTGCCCCCTTCAGACAGGGAGCCCTTGTCCCAGCATGCCCCAACTGCTCCTGACCAGCCGCCCCCTTCAAGATACCTGCCAGACCCCAGGGTGCTTGAGTTTTCAACCCCTACTTTAAAACACTGAGACTGTATGTCTCGGATACTGTGCTCCCTTCTGTTTGCTTCCAAAGTGGTTTCATGTGGGTGTTTTCACTGACCTTCATAGCGCTCCTTCGTGGGCAGAGGGGTTGGTTCTAGCAAACCCATTTTACTAGGAGAAAAGTGAGGTGCCATCCTCATAGCCAGTCCCCAAGTTGGGACTGACCTGTGCAAGGACTGGTCAGCTGTGGTGGCCCTGGCTTATGTGGCCTGGGATCTTTTTTATGATGGGTCCTTCCCACCGGTGGGGGCCAGTGCCTCCGGTGACACCACTCGAAGCTCTGATTGGGACAGTCTCCCAGAGGAGCCTGGGGGAGGGCAGAACTGACACTTGCCCCCTTCCTTCACTCCCTTCCACACCAGCTTCCTTTCTCACTTGTTTCTCAGCGAGACAGGAGGTTCTTTGGAAATTTCTGTGCTTTCAAAGGTATCTCTTTTTTTTTTTTTTTTTGAAGACAGGGCTAAATAAAGAACATGTCAGAGTGTGGGAGCACTTGTGTCCCACAGAAATGTGGACCTTGACTGCCTGAGGAAATATGTTGGGTGTTGCCTCTGGGATTGCCTGTGATTTCTTGAATTTGCACTTTCTCCAGGATTTCTAATTATTTTTAAGTGAGAGTTGAATTGTGATGGTAGTGGTGAAGAAAAAACACGACCCAATGAAGGAGGTGCAAGATGTTGGGGGTGCTGATAATATTCTATATCTTGATCTGAGTGGTAGTTATGGAAGTAGGTTAATTTTATAAGACGTATTCAGGCTATATACTTAATATTGTGCGTGTAGTATATGAATGCTGTACCCCATTTTAAAAGGGTAATTAAAAAAAAAGGAACCATACCTAAGCCACACTGCTTGAGGGTGATCACTGTTTGATCAGTGATCAGACACAAGTTAGAAACACAGCCAGCCTGTGTCCCTGCTGCCTAACCCCTGCCAACTTTTTTCCTTTCCTCGTGGACACTAATTTTTTTTTTTTCTGAGAGTCTTTTTAATTTCAGGGTAACAATAACAAGCTCTTAGACTCTCCTTAGATACTGAGGTGGGGAACCAAGAGAGGAGAGAGACAGACAGACTGAGGGGGTTGCGGTTTGTGGAGAGAGAGGGAGAAAGAGGGTGGGGGAGGGAGGGAGAGATGAATATCAGTAGGTTTCTCTTTTGTTTACTTTTGGAGGTAGGAAGAGTCTTGCTTTTAAGATGCAGGTTGAGCCAACAAAACGGTTAGAAGAATCTCTTGTCTTTGTTTCCCTCCCACAAAGGTAGGATTGGCGTCTGTTTTCCATATTGATACAGAGTAAGCATCGGGGATTTACAAATGATTTCCTCTCTGATAGACTCAGATTTGGCTAAGGCCAGTGCCGCCTCTTTGACCAGCTCTTTGCCTTCGTCTAGAAAATGTCACATCAGAAAAGGTTCAAGAATACCACACAAACGTGTCTTTTGATCAGTTTCAGAAGGTTAATTTCAAGGGATGGAAGGGGTTTAATATTCATTGGGTTGGTTTGTTTTGTTTTTGTTTTTTGGGGGGTGTCTTTTTTTTGCTATAAAACTGCCTGAGTTTGAAATATTTAAATAAAAACTAAGCCAGCAAGTCTTGGAATACGATCAATGCAGACTTGCACCAGTAGTTACTAAGATTCCCAGGGAGGTGGTTTCTCTGGCATCCCTTTGTTCCTGTCCGGGGAGTATCTCCAAATATTTGAATCAGCGTAAATTGCAGCCTTGTGCCCTCCTCCCCTCATCCCACTCCGAGGAAAGCCAAGGGCCATTACTCCTCTCAGAGCAGCACCAGGCAACGGGAAGATGTGCGCTGCCATCATTCCCCGGGGCTCGTTCAGGTTTCCGTCGCAGCCTGGCTTCCCGACCGAACGGGGAGCGCGCAGTGTCCCAGGCGAGGCGGGGAGAGGCGGGGAGCGGCAGGAAGCCGCCGCTCAGCAGTCTGCCGGGAAAGCAGGTTGAGGACAGGTTGCCTGGTCAGCTTTGCATATTGGAAAAGCTGCCGAGGAACTGCTGAAAGGAAATCCACCCAAGGAACGGGGAAGTTGTGGTCTGGAAGCCCAAGGAGCAACCTTGTTAGCGGAGCAGATCACAGGGGAGCTGTCCTTGAGAGACGAGAGCCCCCTTTGTCTGTGAGTGACTGTTCTCCTCAAGGATGTGGAGGGGCACTGAGGGTGCCCTCGGCAGGACGCACATGCCCAGGTGTCCGGCACTGGGCCTCCCATCACTGCTCCCCAGCTGGGCAGAGAATCTCCTGGCTTGAGGTCTGACAGCCTTTGGACGGACTTCCTCCATGAGGACTGGTGAGTCCAGTTGGGCAGCCAAACCAGGTTGTGGGGTTAGGGAGAAGGGGTTGAGCTGCTGGTTCTGTGGCATCCTCGGATAAGCTAATCAGCCTCTTCAAGCCTCTGCCTCCTGGTCCGTAAAATCACAGCAATTAGACTCGTCTCGAAGGAGGAATGTGGTAGTGACATGGAAATACTTTATCTGAATGTGGTCTCGTGGTATTTCATTCTTGGTAGGTACTCAGGAGTCTTCTTTTTTTTTTTTCTTTTTTCTTTCTTTCCTTCCTTCCTCTGGATTACCTGTCCCCCTGCCTCCCTCCCTCCATTCATGTCAGTAACCAAAGTTTGACTGTGTTCTTAATATATCTTGCAATTCATTTTATATTTTGCAGCATTGTATTTTTAGGACAGAGGACTTGTAACAAACACATCTCTCTCCCCCACGTAATCATCTCATCTGTCCATTCATGTCCGTGGTCATTCAGTATTTCCTCTCAGTCTGTCGAAGGTTCCATTCCAGGTGCCAAGATAACAGAGGAGCGTATATCAAAATTCCTTTCGTTTTCACTGCCTGTGAGGTTTTTAATATATGAGAGGAGGAAGATAATTCCATGTGAGTTTAACTTTTGCTACCCAAGGAAATAAAATTCTGAATTCTGTGGCAAGGATCCCTGTCCTTTGTGAGGCCTCGAGTGAGCCTGGAGCTCTCTGGCTGTTCTCTGGATGTTGGTCTGGATGCAGGGATAGGGTTTGGCTGGGGGCAGGCAGGGGTGGCCCTTCGGCCCACCTGCTAGGTGCTGCTGCTTGTGACTATAGGCAAGTTACTTTCCTTCTTCCCCCCTGTACTTTCCTGGTCTGTAGAATATGGATAATAGCACAAGCTCAGAGGATTAGATGAGCTAATAATGTATGCAGAAGTGCCAACCTAGCAAGAGAAGTGGCAGGTGATAATGCTGATGCTGACAATTAGCTCTGTGATGACTGCAGTTACAGCTTGAGCCAGTTCAGCGTCTTGATCAGCAGGGGATGTGGGCGTGAAGAAGGCAGTGTCTTGGCTTCTAGAGGCTTGTGGCCCAAGAGCTGGAAAGACGAGTACCTTGTTCACCCTCATGCAGGACAAAAATGGAATAAAGACAACCAAGTGCTTGAGGTTTTCAGAGGTGGGAGAGTTGGTGACAAAAGAGCCACTGTGTGAGTCCCTCCACATTTAGTGACAACTGTCTACCCTCTAAGACGCCCGTCTGTTGCATCTCCATTTTATGCACAGGTCATGACCTTAGAGGAGGTAACCCACTCCCTCCAAAGGAGGGAGCACCCAGTACCTGAACTCAAACTCCAAGCCCGTGTTCTCCCCAACACATCAGGCCACGTGGCCCACCTTGGTTCCACCCTGTCACTCTCAGATCAGCCTCCCTTCTGCGGTCCCTGAGCAGCCTGGGCCCTCAGTGGTGAACCCTCCAAAATTTCAGGCCTTCTCCCCACCTATGTTTGGTTGTTTCCCTACCTTCCCTCAGGAATGTTGAATGAGTAAGTGTACTTCCAGTTAGGGACAATAGGAAAATCTTGCCAAAATTAGGTGCCATTTGAAATGAGAACAACTGATGAGGGCATGGAGAGCCAAGGGAAGGATACAGCTCTTTGTACATCCCCAGGCAGCTGTCCTGCTACCCTTCACTTGTCAGCTCTGGGAACAGAGAGGCTAGGAATTTTTCATCTTTTTTTGTTTTAAAGATTTTATTTATTCATTTGATTTGAGCAAGCACGAGCTGAGGGGGTAGGGGCAGAGGGAGAGGGAGTAGCAGACTGCCCACCGAACAGGAAGCCTGACACGGGATTCGATCCCAGGACTCCAGGATCACGACCCGAGTCAAAGGCAGATGCCCAACCGACTGAGCCTCCCAGGTGCCCCACTTTTTCATCTTTTGTTCCCTATTGGTGCTACCGAATGATCTGGCACATAAATCAGGAAGGTTTTGTTAAGGAATTGTGAACGTAAAACCAATAGAGTGTCCCAGGCCTGCTGTGCAGAGTAAAGCTGGGAAGGCTACCTCCCTGGGCCAGCCAGGTTGGGGCTGTGATGGTTGGGTGTTTGTTCATTCTAGAGGGGGGATCCAAGTCATAGTCCTGGGCCAAGACCATGTGCACTCTCTCTGCCACTGGGTAAATCAGAGTTCTAGGGGTCGCACCCTGGAGCTGCTCCAGCGCTGGAGTTGGGGAACAGAGGAGAATCTACTGGGTGGAGGAATTGTGTGAGGTGCTGCTAGGCATGCAGAAGTGTCTCATGTCCTTGGCCTTATTCTCCAGGAAGGCAGCAGTGTGGCATAGTGGTTAAAATCTGGGCTCTGCATTTAAGACTCCCTAGAATCCTTGGATCTCCATTTCCTCACTGTGTGGTCTTGGGCAATTTTCTACTCTGTACCTCAGTTTTCATATGTAAAATTGAAATATGAACTGTAACTTCCTCATGGATTCTTGGTGAGGATTAAATTAAATAATAAATGAAAAGCACTTTGGCCCAGTGCCTAGCACATAGTAAGTGCTTAATAAATGTTAGTTGTCACTGCTACTACTCTTAGCATCACTACAGTTTGATTAGGGAAAGTAAGATATGGGAACATGCAAAGAATAACTAATATAGTAACCCAGAATGTAGTTAAGTGCTAAGTTTTCAGTATTTCCTGGAGTATGTTAGAATGTGTCAGAATGTACTTGAACATAAACTCCAGGAAGTTAATGACTTGTATTTGTTCTTATTCATTTACTACAATGGGGTCCCAGGCCCCATGAGTTTGCCTGGCATATGGTGGCACCCAGGTAGTACTTGCAGATTGAATGCTTCTAAAGGCAATCTCTTTCCTGCCTCAGGACCTTTGCATGTGCTCTTCCCCATGGCTGGAATGCTCTTCCCTAAACTCTTCTCAGTAAGTTTGTTCTCACTCTTCAGGGCACTTCTTCAAAGGGGACTTACCTGACCACCGTCCCTCATCCTCCCCCTCATCAACTAAATTACATCAGTGTATTTTTTTCTCTTACTCCTTGTCCTTTTTCTTATAAAACCTTCATAATTCATAATTACTCATTTGTATTTATTTTTCCAAACTCTGCCCCTGTCACTGGATTGTAAACTCCAGGAGGGATGGGACTTCATCAGACCCGCGGATCCTCAGACCTTCCATGGCACCTGGCAAATGGCAGGCTTTGAGGAGTTCTGGTTGAAGGAATCTACTGGAAGTGTTTAGAGGAAGGAACATGGGCTGGAGTAGTTGGGACAGGGAGTGGGTAACGTTAGTCTCCGCTCATCTATAAAACTGAAGTGAAGGCAATACTATGTACTGTCGTGATGCTCCTTAAGCAGAGAGTGGTCAGAATCAGAGATCGTTTTGTTGAAGTGTGCTGTAGCTTGAAAAGGATGTGTTCGTTGGTTCCCTCCTTTACTCATCAAGCCTTGATGGAGCTCCTGCTCTGTGTTCAGATGTGGGAACACCCCGTCTGTGTCCCTTGCCACAGCTGAACGGGGGGATGCCCGCAGTCAGGGAGTGAGTCTTTTGTCCCCCCTCCTATTCTGATGCCTAGTACCCAGAGGGAACTCAGTATGTGTTTGACGAATGACCGAACAAGTGAAGGCACCATCAGGTGGCTGCGATGGAGGACTGGAATTTAGGGAGGAGTGTGGGGTTGAGGGGTGAGAGAGGCGGTGGTGGTGACCAAGAGGTGACTTGACTGGGGCTGCTTGTCTGTATTCAGCTTTGCCCCATACAGCAGTGTATCCACAGAGGAAGGCATCGATACTAGCTAGTACTGGTCTTGGACGAAAGGCGTTAGGCCAGATTCTTGCTGGGTAATCATTCTGATTTCCTGCCCTGCTGGTGTTGCCCACTGTTGGTAGTTAAGTATAGCCAACACGGGCCTTGTCACTCAGTGTGGCCACCCTAAAGTGTTGCTAACTCCCACCCGCATTCACTGCACTGTTTCTCCCTACTGGCATCCCCTTGGACTGGCCCCAGCCCCTAGGGAGGCCCCCAAAGCCTTCTGGTTAGCTTTGTGCCTTTTCACTGCGGTGAATCATTAACATCACGCTTCTGTCCCCTCCTGGGTTCCATGGCCAGCAGGTCAGGGCTCTTCCAAAGAAAGCTAGCTAATTATATCCCTTGTCTGAACCAAATCCCACAAGAGGAGCAAAGCAGTGGCATATAAATGGAGCCGGGCGGGAGCAGGCACCTCTGGCTTTTGAGGATTTGTTTCCTCCCGGCCCCTCTCTCTCTCCCTGATCCATGTGGAACTAGCAGCCGCCCTTGCCTGCTCCGTCTGCGTGTTAGGCTGTGGCGCTGTGCTGTATTCAAAGATCTCGCTGCTAGTGGAGTGATAGGAAGACAGCAGAACAAAAGGAAACGGGCCAGGAGGCTGCATGCTGGATGAAGAGAGGTCTCCGGAGTTAGAGGTGCTTGTTGCCAAGTGCCAGAGAGTTGGTGGCTGAATTCTCACCCCGTCTCGGTCTGCTCACGTTTCTCCTCCGTGGGGCTCTGTCCCCCTTTCCCTCCCAGCCCGTCCCACTCTCCTTCCTCACTTCCTTTTAGGACATAGTTATATTCTGTACTTTACTCCAGCCAAAAAAAAAAAAAAAAAAAAATCAGGCTTTCTAGCAAGATAACCAGACTGTAAAGGCCCGGACACTTTCAAGTAGTCATCTGTCATTGTATTGGCATTCTCGCTCTGGGCTGAGCGGCTCCCGGCCTGGGATTCTGGAAGGCCTAATTCAGCGTCTCATCCACAGACCGACGCTGAGAAGCATTCACAGGTGGAGAGGGGTTCCCTGTGGTCGGGCGATGATGTCAAGAAGTCAGACGGAGGCTCAGACAGCGGCATAAAGATGGAGCCTGGGTCTAAGTGGAGACGGAATCCCTCAGACGTGTCTGACGAGTCTGACAAAAGCACGTCGGGCAAGAAGAATCCGGTCATCTCCCAGACGGGCTCGTGGCGGCGAGGCATGACCGCGCAGGTGGGCATCACCATGCCGAGGACGAAGGCGGCTGCCCCGGCAGGCCCGCTCAAGACCCCAGGAACTGGTGAGTAAGAGGCTGCGCTGCCTTGCATCTGCATTTGTCCGTCTGAAATCCAAAACCTGCAGTCACTCGAGCAAGAGCTTCAGTCCCCATCAGTACTCAGGTATTTCTTCTTTGAGTTTAGACTCTGCTAATAACTAGCTTTCGGAAAGGTTCACATCCCTACCTTTTCAAAAGTGGAAATAGGTAAGTGTGCAAGCCTCAAACTCCGAAGATGGTTCAGCTACCGAGGTGTGTGGAATGGGTTTAACCAGGCGCTAGGGAAGAACCAACACGCCCACGTGCAAGCTGCTCAAGAGCATGCGTTTACGAGCTGCCTTTATGTCAAGTTTGTGTTGCCCATGATTTAGGGATGTGTGTAAACAAGGGTAGTGTTTTTGCAGGAAGGCAGAGGTGCCCCCTGAAAATGTTAAGGAGAGCCTTTTAAGGGACAGAGAGGGAAGAAAGAAAGGTCAGTAGAAGGCAGGATCTCTTGCCCTGACATATCAGTGATTGGCTGGCTTCGCTTTGTTCTGGGTAAATTTAGGCTGCTTTGCAAATGAGTAGAATCATTGACATCTCCTGGAAGGCTCATGGTGACGGTAGTAGGCTCGATAATCTTTACAAAAAGCCTCCTCCTTTCCCCAAGGCAAAAGTGAACCAGTTCTTTGGAGGAGGGGAGGATTGTAAGCAGGTGGGGCTGTATGTGCTGGCTTCTTGGTGTGCACGCTAACCTTGCTGCTTTCTCCCTTAGGAAAAACAGATGATGCAAAGGTGTCTGAGAAGGGAAGACTGTCTCCCAAAGCCTCCCAGGTGAAGCGCTCCCCATCAGACGCAGGCCGCAGCAGCGGTGATGAGTCCAAAAAGCCCCTCTCCGGCAGTTCCAGGACCCCCACTGCCAATGCCAATAGTTTTGGATTCAAGAAGCAGAGCGGCTCGGCCGCTGGGCTGGCCATGATCACAGCCAGTGGGGCTACCATCACCAGCAGGTCAGCCACACTGGGCAAGATCCCCAAGTCATCGGCACTCGTCGGTCGGTCCGCTGGCCGGAAGACGAGCATGGACGGGGCTCAGAACCAGGACGATGGGTACCTGGCTCTCAGCTCCCGCTCCAACTTGCAGTACCGGAGTTTGCCAAGGCCCAGTAAGTCCACCAGCCGCAACGGGGCCGGGAACAGGTCTAGCACCAGCAGCATCGATTCCAACATCAGCAGTAAGTCCGCGGGCCTGCCGGTGCCCAAGCTGAGGGAGCCTTCCAAAACGGCCCTGGGCAGCTCTCTGCCCGGTCTGGTCAACCAGACAGATAAGGAGAAAGGCATCTCATCCGACAATGAGAGTGTGGCTTCCTGTAACTCAGTGAAGGTGAACCCGGCGGCCCAGCCTGTGTCCGGTGCGGCTCAGGCGACGCTCCAGCCAGGCACCAAGTACCCTGACGTGGCCTCTCCCACGCTCCGCAGGTAAGCGGGTCGATGGCGCTGAGCAGAGCTGGAGTACGTGGAATGGCATCCCGAGTGAATAATTTTTTTTAGTTCCTCAGTGAAAACAGCTCCTGCGTTTCTCCACTTCTGTTTAGTCAGAGCCTGCCAGCGATTTTGTAGTCTGCTGATTATTTCCCCACGCAGGGAGGAAAAACCTAAGTGTCTGAATCAGTCATCCTGGGTCCGAATCCTGAGTCCACCTTAATTAGCCACCATGTATCCTTTCTTAACAATTCTGTTTCGGTTTCCTCATCTGTAAAATGGGAACACCTACCTGAGATTTCATGTGAAGATTAACCTACATAGCCATATCTGGCCCATAGTAGGTGCTCAGTCAAAGCTAGCTACCGTCCAAGATGAGATCTTAATAATCCCCCTAGACCCCGCGTGGGTATATAAGGGGAAGGCAGAAGATCTTCCCTCCTCCCCTTGTCTTATTAATTCTGTGGCTGAGATTCTTCATCATTCTGCCAGACCGTGAGCTCAGCCAGATCCTTCTTCTCTCAACCAGCCCAGTATTCCCCCTGCCACATACTTTTTTATACTGCATGCTTAATTCCAAATTTGTTTCTGAAATTTTAGCTTTCTTAAAAAAAAAAAAAAAACCTTTTAAAGCAGGAGCGTTTCTGAACAAGAGAAATTGATTTCTTTCTTATTCCCTTAAAAAGGCATTTTCCTGCATTTCCACACTGAATGGAAATTTTTATGTGAAAACAGTGTTATTTTTTAAACAGTTCCTTTCTAAATGTATAAGCTTTTGCTTGCTCATGTTATCTCATTATCATATCTGCTGGACCATCCTCAAACTGCACACTCTAGGACAGAGCTTATCTTACCTTCCCAGGAAATGGCTTATCCTAGGAAAGAGCATAAGTACTGGATAGAAAATTAAGTAGTGAAAAATAAAGATTATGTGCCCATGTACATATTTGGGGGTGAATAGGAATGTTTGAAAAGACTTCAGAAGAAGCATGTCACGTGAAATGTGTAATGAAGCAGTTCCCTGTTCTTTGTCTAGACTTGATTATTAGAATTTCAGTAATGATTATTTTTTCAGGGGAAGGTCCTATTGGGCTGCTCTTTGTTGTTTTAACAGGTTGCCTTATAAATGAAAATTTTCTCTGCTTCTTGCCTCAAGTATTATATGTAATAGTCACTCGGTATTAGAGATTTCCTTTAGTAACCACAAAGGTATTTTACTGGACCCTTGGGCTACTGTAATAGAATACTTGAAAATGCATGCAAATTCTTAGGCTTGCATTGAACATCTTTCAGCCAGTTCCTGTTAATTACATTTTTCCTAAATCATTAAGAGGTGTTCTCAATTTCCTCTTTGTGCATTAGTACAGAGAAGAGAAATCTTAGATCAAGTGATAGCTCTCTTCAAATGATTTGAAGGACTAGCAGACAAAAGATCGGGCTTTTTCTGTGTAGTTATATGGAGGAGAATTAGGGGCAATGAGAAAAAGTGAAGAAGATAGATTGGATTTTGGTTTTCTAGTGATTGGAAGGCCTTCACAGTGGAATGAGTTACCCTTAAAAGTAGTGAGGTTCCTGTTACTGGAAGTATGTAAGCACGCCAAAGCCAAGATTCTACCAGAAGATATCTCATTCTCTGGTTGTCATCAGGCAAAAAAGAGTTTTCTAATCTGTCACCAGATACTGTAGTGAGGATTGATTATGTGTATGTATGTTTGTTCTTACAATTACTGGGATTTTTAAGGATTCCCAGAAGAGAACAAAGATCAGACTCATGCCATGGAGTAGCTGGGTGCAAGGCAACCTGCCTCTCATGATATGTAGTAGTTTTGTCACTACAGAGATGCACATTCCACGAGGGTTTCGTGGATGGAATTACTTGCATTCCTAGAGCGTGTACCGGTCCTTGGACTTTAAGACAGTTCTGCCATTCTTCATAGAGAGTCCTGTTGCCAAAGGAAGAGAGACACACGTGCCATTCTCTGTGTTTCAGATGGCACATTTTTGGTCATCAGCAGGTGGGATGACATGGAATGACATTTCTGTCCCCAAGACCCAGTGTGTCTGATCTTACATCTCATGACTCCAGCAAGATTTCTCTGTAGATCCTTAGGTAGGACTAGCCTCCCATCTTTCATGTGGGCGTTCACTTGAGGAGAAATCTGTAAAGATACTTCTCCCAGGCCCCATCCAGATCTAGACTCATGTTCTTGATTGTTCATGTCATCCTTAGAGACCAAAGCAACCAAAACCTTTGGAATTGAACAGTCATACACTGAGTACCTGCTTTGTGTCCGGGGTCTCGGATACAAAGACGGCTAAGACAGCTCTTTTTCCTCTAGATGTTTCCCGGGCCGGGGCAGTTTTTTAGTTACCCGATTTATGGAAATAAAGGGAAGCAAGATCTGGGACCACCATGGCTAGGCTTATAGAAAATTATTTCGCGTTGCCCTTGGGGTCTCGGCTACAGCCTAGAACTTGAAGCTGGAGCCTTGTGATACACTGGTATCCGGGCCCACTGCGTGGTGGCTTTTGCCAGTGGAGCACCATTAGCCATTTCATACTTTTAACAGCTCGGCGCCCCTCGTCGCTGGCTGTCCAACCTGCACAACCCTTTGTCTCTTCACAGACTCTTTGGTGGGAAGCCTACCAAGCAAGTGCCCATTGCCACAGCAGAAACCATGAAAAACTCAGTGGTGATCTCCAATCCTCATGCCACCTCGACCCAGCAAGGTAACTTAGAGTCCCCCTCAGGCAGCGGCGTTCTGAGCAGTGGGAGCAGCAGTCCTCTCTACAGTAAGAATCTGGATATCAACCAGTCTCCTCTAGCCTCCAGCCCCAGCTCAGCCCACTCGGGCCCTTCCAACAGCCTCACCTGGGGCACCAACCCCAGCAGCTCGTCCGCGGTCAGCAAGGACGGCCTGGGCTTCCAGTCCGTCAGCAGCCTCCACACCAGCTGCGAGTCCATTGACATCTCCCTCAGCAGCGGCGGGGGGCTGAGTCACAATTCCTCCACGGGCCTCATCACCTCCTCTAAAGATGACTCCCTGACTCCCTTCGTCAGAACCAACAGTGTGAAGACCACGCTGTCAGAAAGGTTGGTGCCGTGCGCTCGCATCTCTCCGAGAGACACCCTTCCACAAGTCCGAGGGTTTATGTTAGGAATCCCAGATGTCAGTTCTCCTTTGCCTGGGAGATGGCGCTCTTTCCAACCACTGCTGTCTTTCCGTGGGGAAGCCAGGTCGGGATGGAATTCAGCTCGGCTCTCCTTCCTGTTACCTTTTCCATCGTGGTTATTCTCAGTGCTTGGAGCTGCGGGCAGTCTCTGGGGGGCAGGTTTAATGCTCCCATTTGAAATGGCATTCCTCCTTGGGGGTCCTTCCATTTTATCTTGTTCGCTCATCAGCTGCTTGTTTCCCCTCCCCTTGTCCTTGTGCAGGCAGAGTGGGTGGCAGGAAGAGTTTTAGGCAGCGGGGTGGACTTGGTGGGCATCATGGCAGACACCCCCCTACTGAAGGGCTGCCAGCCAGAGGGATCGAGAAACTCAAAGCCGCCTCAGAGCCCTGGATTTCACGGCGGCGTGCGGTGTGTCGTGTTTATCCACGTAGGCGAGAACGCGGGGATCTGCACTGGGACTGAGAGAAATGTTCTGATCACTGTGTGTGTAACGACCCCCCCCCTTCCTTCCCATCTAATGTTCCTTCTCTTATTTTCTACCTGCCTGGACTTCTAGCCCTCTCTCTTCCCCTGCTGCTAGCCCTAAGTTCTGCAGAAGTACTCTGCCCAGGAAACAGGACAGGTAATGACATTGTAGGCTGGGGACCCCACCGAGCCTCCGGGTTCCTCTGCCCATCTGTGTCAAGCCAGACGTCTTGTGTGAGGCTGTTGGCCTGAGGCTTCCGCTTGTGTTCGTGGCTCTGATGTACCCTGTGACCCCAGACATGCCAATGAGGGTCTGCTCCACTGTCCACACCAGCCCTGGCAGTGGTAGAGTCGGGCCGGCCCCTCCCTCCCCAGCTTGGGAAGGAAGCACAGCCGCTTGAACTGGGGCGGCAGACGCCCTCACTTGCATCTCTGCCTTCCTGTGGCATGTTCCTGCTTCCCAGCTCCCCAGCTCCCCACCCTTTCTCCCGGCTCTCTCCCCTCTCCCTCCCAGCCCAGAAGTGACCTACCACCCACTGTGCGGCGCAGCCCTCACCTTTGTCTCCCCCACGCCTACTCCCCACTCCCCACGCAGCTGGTTCGCTTCCCTTCCAAAGTCCTTTCCTGCAGTTTGGCTGTTGCGTCTTGCAGGCTGTTGTGTTCTGTGTGCCTGTTTCCTGTAATGATAATGAAAAAGAGGATGTAGAGGGTTGAGGCTCTACAGACTGAGAGGCTTGCTTGCCCCTGGCTGCCCTGTGGGTGGGCCTCAGAGATGGACACTGACCTCCAGTTTGTGGGGGAGCCACAGCTTGGCCAAACATAATAACCAGATGTTGTTTCAGCTAGAAAAAAAAAATTAATGAAAATCCTCTTCACCCCGTCAACAGCAAAAACTTTGTTTTTGTCAGACTCACAGACCAAGCCTTTAAACCCTTATTCTTTGGAAATCCAAATGCCTTGACTTTATCAGCCAGCAAGTTGTAACATGCCCCGACTCGGGCCCAGGGCTCAGCTCCGAGCTACAGCAAACTAAGAAGGACCTGGAATTCACGTTGTTACAGATGAATTCCAAATATGCAGACTGCTGGCCTCTTGACACCCTCCAGCAAGTCCCTTCTCTCACGGGAAGTCCTCGTCAATGGCATTTGGGGGTGGGCCAGAGGTAGGGGTGCAGGGAACCTGGCATCTCTCTCTCCAAGAAGCAGTGGTGCTAGTACAAGGCTGGGTGGACTGGGCAGCAGAAGGTGTGGGCTCTGCTTTGACCTGGGGCAGCCCCTGAGTTTTGCTTGGCACCTGTGGCAAAGGAGGAAGAGTTGGGGCCCAGTGGATGGCTCAGGCCTCCTGGTGCCTCGGGAGTAAGGTGGAGTAAGGTATGCTCTGGTGTCCGCCAGGCCCAGGATCAGGTTTCTCTTGTTTTCCGTGGATGTGGATGTGTTGCATGCGCAGCTGGATATAAGGGAGCACTCCCTGGTGCCTTGAGTCTCTTGCTGCAGATCTCCGGCCCCTCCTTAGCCTTTCCCTCCTTCCCTTGCCTGCTTTCCCTGTGCTTCTCTGAAGTTCTCATTTTTGTTTTAACTTTCCTACAGTGACCCGCACCTTGATAGGAACACTTTGCCTAAAAAAGGACTCAGGTATCTGCGTTTCCTCCTTCCGTCCGTGCCATCTGGTGTGGCTTTGGGGCTTGGCTGCGTGACTCTCATGGCTGGTGGGGGTTGGGGCTGGGCTGGGGTCCCCGCTTTGGCCACCGCAGCAGGACCCTCTGAAACGGGGGCTTCCCCCGGCCCCCTCTCATTCTCATCACCCCATCTGTTGGCTTTTTTGCTTGGGCAGGGGCTGTGCTTTTTCAGGCTTACTGTGGCGCAGACCATCTCATGAAGAACATCCCTGGGCAAGCCCAGAGAGCAGTGACTGCTACTCGTGGGACCGGCGGGTTCAGTCGACGAGCTCTTCACCCTGACCATTCTGCTCACGGCTGTCTTCCCAAGAGAAAGGACGTGACTCGTAGCACGTTGGTTAGCCAGGACACGGACAAAGGAGAGAAATATCTCCCCCCAAATTGGAAAATATTTAACTTTTCGGGCCACAGAAAATTACTAAAGGCAGATGCTTTGCCCTTCCTAAATATTTGCATCGAAAATCGTGTCAGTTTTCGGTCCCTGACAAGACACGGGTGTGATTGGCTTTGGTGTAAAGAAAAGACTACCAGGAAGGAATGTCCTTCCATTCATCGTAAGTCATGGCTCATCTTTGGTGCAAGTCCTGGTTAAGCAAGATGCTGTAAGTCACCGTTGCTCGCGCCATCTCCTTCACTTTGCCAACCAGAGGGACTCCAGTTCTAACGCCTGCCCCATGGCCCTACTGTATGATGGTTGCGGCTGTCATTTCTCCTGCTCTTTAAACACCTCGTTCTTCGTACCATTTGCTTCACCCAGCACTAAGCATTAAGTGCTTTCGCAAAAAAAAAAAAAAAAAAAAAAAAAAAAAAAAGGAACTTGGAATGAAATGTTTCATTGCTGTCATGTATGTCTGTAGCTAATAACCTGCAGCTCTTAAGGCTGAGAGCATTTTGAGCAGTAATGGGAGGTAGGTATCAATGCTGCCTTTCAGTAGGAACTTGAGGAAAGCCAATTCTGAGAATCTAAGAATAAAAGTATTGAAAATCCTCCATCAGACGTCCTGCGGGAGGAAGTTCAGCACTGCGGCCATGGAGCGGGGGAGGTGGCAAGGCCTTTTGTGCTTAAGTTTTCTTTGTGCCTGTGAGGGCTTCTTGTCAGCACCCAAGCTAATACTTCGATCATGGCCACTCTCAAGATGAGTTTGACATGGATGCCCCGCTGTTGCCTCTAAATAGTAACTTTTTAGGAAGCTAGCCCCTCTAAATAGGAACATTTTTAAGTTATAGATACATATTTTTTTCAGTAGTTCTAGTCTATCAAAATGATGTAGCTCTGGCTTTTTAAAATTATTTTTTTTAATTTCAGAATAGAGATATGTGCTAGGCTCTCTTCGTGCAATTGATGTGACCTAGAAAATGGTCTGTCCATCACCAATAGCAGAAACATTAAGGGAGAAACCTTTTTTTGCCCCCTCTCACTCTGTCTCTCCCTTCTAGCTCCCTCCCTAAACATTCATGTGCAATGCCAAGACACCAGCAACTCTTTTTCTTGAGTCAAAAGAATCCCTCTGGTTCAGTAATCAGTAGTTGCCCCACGGTAATCTGTGTATAAGTCCAAAGGTACTCTGGCCGCTGGGCACTTCAGAAATTTGAGATGCTGCCTGCGGGCATGATGAGAAGAGCATGGATTTTGGAATCGGACACAAAATGGATTGAAATCTCAGCATGTGATTTGAGGCAGCCCCCCCCCCCCCCATTGAATGTAAAACGGGAAAAATAGCATCTGCATTGCTGGGTGGGTGGGAGGTGTTGGCGAGATGTTTCTGAAGGCACCCAGCACATTGGAGACATTGAATACACCATTACCAGATAACGTGACCTAATAAATGAGGAGGTGGACCCCATGACTTCTGTGGCACCCAGTGATTTGGGGTTCCTGTTACGGAGACGTACTGATGCTATACTGCAGCGAACCTAAGCATCGGTGTCCTCACGCCTTCCAGCATGTCTGGTTTCTGAAACACTGGGACTTGCGGCCACTTAACGTGCACTCGAGAATGCAGATGCCACGAGCTATCTAATTAAAACTTCCTCGAAGCTCTGACAGCAGCTCCTTTTGTTGCTTCAGTCCTGTCAAGGTGGGGGCTTTGAAATGACACTATCATGAATCAACATGTTACAGATACGCCCAGGGACGGCTCCTTTGAGCATTTACCGATCTTGCTCCCTTTATGTATTCCCTTCACACTGAAAAGAATTGCAGTTTTCCCCAAAGGCAGCCAAGTAGCAAAAAAGGTTTGGAGAAACTTCATAAGTTTCAGGATGTGTAGTGATGTGATTTTTTTTTTTTTTAATAATAATCTTTGGATCTGCATTTTCTTTTTTGTCTATTTATCATCAGCTCCCCGGAGTTCATTTTCATAAGCGTCATTCATAGTTAATCCCAGCGTAATTTCTGTCTATCCAGGTATACTCCCACCTCCCAGCTTCGCACCCAAGAAGACGCAAAAGAATGGTTACGGTCCCACTCTGCAGGAGGCCTGCAGGACCCCGCTGCCAATTCCCCTTTTTCCTCTGGCTCCAGTGTAACGTCTCCCTCCGGAACAAGATTCAACTTTTCCCAGCTTGGTGAGTAGCCACTGATCATTAGCTGTGGGGATCAGCTCCGTGGGGCAGAAGTTAATCTTGTATTTTGAAGGAGGCGTGTGGTCATTGCCATGCGGTCACATCACTCTCCATATCGATCAGCCCTCAGCAATATAGTATGATTATAGGCAGTTGAGAGCAAAAGAACGACAAAGAGAAGAGGTTTTGTTACTCTAATCAGTAATTTATTCATGTGGTAGATGTAGGTAGGCTCATAGCAAAGAGCAAACCATTCCATTTGTGAGAAGAATGTATTGTTTCTAAGACCTCTGAAGACATAGGTTTGTATCTGAAGAAGTGGCAGCATATCCCGAGTTTGGTCCTCTGCATTGCTCTACTAAGGTGGAAAATAAAGATCCGGTTTTGAGTGAACAAGTATTCTTGGAGATGCCTACTACTGACATAATGCTTTGACTGGCACAGTGGGGAAAGGAAAAGAATTTGTAAGACAGCCCCTGCTGACTTGTTAATGGATTCTTTTTCAGAGAGACAAACACACCCACACAGACTCATAAACAGGGTAGAAGGGAACAATCCAAAGCTTTATATGAAACCAGGTAAAAACCAACTATGATCAGGTAGCAAGTATTATATATAGTTAGAAAAAGGGAAGATCCGTCCTGGCTAGAATTAACCAGAAAGGATGGGAGCTTGAGCCTTCAAAGGCTGATGGAGGCGGGGGGGAAGTCTTGCCCACTCTCATCTTGCTCTTTAGAAAGGCAGCCTTTTCTGAATATTGTGAATAATAAACACGGAGTCTTTAAGGACAGGTGTGTGGCTTGTAATCGAGTAAGGCTTAACTTTTCCTTTTTAATTAAGTAGATACTTTGGAAATACTGTATATTACTGGAGTGGACAGGGTTTTTTTTGTTTTGTTTTGTTTTTTAAGATTTTATTTATTTATTTGACAGAGAGACAGCCAAAGAGGGAACACAAGCAGGGGGAGAGGGAGAGGGAGAAGCAGGCTTCCTGCTGAGCCGGGAGACCTATGTGGGGCTCGATCCCAGGACCCTGGAATCATGACCTGAGCCGAAGGCAAACGCTTAACAACTGAGCCACCCAGGCGCCCTGAAATGGACAGGGTTTTAATGAAAAAGCCTGTTTGGGCCAAGGTGGTTGTGCCCCTTTGCCCTGAAGCTCTTTAGGTGCCATTACGAGCATGCCCCACTGGAGGCAGTGAGACCTGTGTTCATATTGTTCTTTCCCAGCCGTAACTCTTTGAGGCAAGAGTTTCTTGTCATGCACAAATGCTTCCCATCTGATCAAAAGCCCAGTTGGACTATTTTGGGCTTTGGCTTTAAAGGGAGTTGTTCCAGATGAGCCCAGGGAGTAATTAGCTCATGCCTGGAAGGTGACACTGGCTTGTCGGAACGTGCCAAGTTGGAAAGCTGAGGCCCAGAGCCTTGCTTTGGAAATGACCCACCTTTCCTCCCTTATTTTTTAGCTCTCAGTGTGTTATTCAAATGCTGGTGTGACAACCTTCTAGAAAACAGACAGGGGAGGGAAGTTGGCAGGGACAGATATGGCCGATACTAATCAGTCCCATTGTCGTCCCCATCCAGGATTTGAACAGAGACATGAATTTCCAACCTTTCAGTTCCTTTTCTCTTTTTCCAGCGAGTCCCACCACTGTTACCCAGATGAGCTTGTCCAACCCAACCATGCTGAGGACCCACAGCCTCTCCAATGCCGATGGGCAGTATGACCCATACACCGATAGCCGATTCCGGAATAGCTCCATGTCCCTGGATGAGAAGAGCAGAACCATGAGCCGCTCGGGCTCCTTCCGGGATGGATTTGAAGAAGGTAAGCAAGGAGGGTTACTGTCTCAATAGCCTTGCTATTGCTATTTACCAAGTGAGAGGTGGTAACAGTGGTTAATGGTCCTCCATACCGAGTTCATGATGTAAGAGCCCACCTGTAAGTGTTTCCACCTCCATCACTCACTCTGGGGGTTGGGGCTGGGGAACGCTGAATAGCAGGGTCTGGCTCTTCATTCACCTTGTAGGGGGAAGAGGCTGCTGAAGAAACATGAGTGAACTTGGAGCTGACCGAGTTCCACTCGAGGCTTCTCCCTCTTGGGCTTGGGCCACAGCTTCTTGGCATGTGCCTCCATCTTGAGGTTCAGCTGCTGGCTCACCATCTTGGCAGACTGAGTTTCTGGAAAGTTAGTTCATTTCTCTGTGCTAACCTACCCGTGTAGCTCTGGGGGCCTGTGGGCAGCCGGCCTCTCCACTCCAGAATTTTCTATTTCTCAAGCACCAGTTTTTTTAAGTTTATTCAATTATGCCCTTTTCCTTCAGGTATGCCCTTTTCCTTCTTTGCTCACTAATTGTGAATATTTGGGGTTGGATTTTTCTGTTTTGCTCATTTTAATCAGAACGTTGGGAGAAAGTAGCTGTGGGCATCGTTGCCAGTCCTGTTCCTAATTTGGCTCATGTCTCTTTCCCTTTGTTCCTTCACTCAGGGTGGGAGCTAGGGAAGCAAGCGGTGAAAACGCTGTGGAGGGACAGCCCCACCCCCGAAGCTTCTTCCCGAAGTTGGGAATGCTAGGACACTGGAGTCAGTACTCACTGACTAGTGGTTAAGCATATGGAGTAACACTACCAGGGTTTGAATTCCAGTTTCCTGCGTCTTCGGTATATGATCTTAGACGACTTACTTCACCTCCCTGTGCCTCTGGTTTCTTTACTGACAAAATGAGAATGGTAATAGTACCCAGCTCATGGAATTACGAGAATTCAGCCATAGATATAAATGTTCACCCAGTAATGTCATTACATGTCCTAGCCTGTAGACTCAGCGTCAGCAGTGATGTCCTGGCAGCTGGGGCTCCCCAGCCAGGGGATGGGGACTCTCAGAGCAACTGGAGCCCGGGCTACGGCCATAGCCCTAGTTGTGCCTTTTTGCCAGTGACAGACAAAAATGGGGGAGAATGTGGGAGGGAGTCCTGGGTGCTTCCCTCTGCTCCCAGCGCCTGTGAGAGTGGGGAAATAGAAGCCCAGCTGCCTCCTCGGAGGAGAGACCAAATTTGTCTTGTTTTGTTTTATTTTTTTTAAAGATTTTATTTATTTATTTGAGAGAGAGCGAGAGAGAAAGTGAGCACAAGCAGGGGGAACGGCAGGCCAAGAAGGGAGAAGCAGGCTCCCTGCTGAGCAAGGAGCCCGATGCGGGGCTCAGATGTGGGGCTCGATTCCCGGACTCGAGGATCACAACCTGAGCCGAAGGCAGGCGCTTAACTGACTGAGCCACCCAGGTGCCCCCAAACTTGTCTTGTTTAAGAAATCCCTACACAAGCTGAGAGGGAAAGAAACAGAATAAAGGTTTCTGCTCTTGCCCAGTGTACTTGCTTATAAAAAGGGTAAAGGGTTTAGTTACAGGGCACTTGCCCCCTGGTCCATCTTCCTAGCGACATCACTCCCTTCACCCTGCTTTATGTGTCACTTTCACCCAGTGAGCTACAGTGAGCTACAGTCTGCAAATCCATATACGGAACCTGCTGGGACAGAGGATTAAGGACAGGTGGAGCCAGAGTTGCCAAGAGTGTTCTGCTGGATTTAAGAGCTAGAAATGCGTGTTGTAACCACCCCGGGCAGTCATAGTGGTGGATACGTTGACCCGAAGGTGAAGGAGGAGGCAGTTGGTCTTGAACTTCTTTCTATCCCGTGAGCTAGCCAAGCACGGCCACAGAGCGTTCCCCAGCCCGCCTGGGGACGACGCACATATGGAGTGCGTCCTGGGCCATATTCATCTTCTCTGTCGTGTGTACCTGAGTGAACCGTGTTCAGGACTGAAACTTGTCCAAACAAGCACACTTCGCCTCATAAAGATCCGGGACCATTACAGTATCATCATCAGAGAGCTTTTATTTATTCCATCTGGAATCAAGCTGTCAGGCAGCACCACCGTGGAATATCTGGGATGTCAAAGTGACATTGATTAAAAATGCTTGCCCACAAGCAGTGTCTAGACTTTTATAAACCCTAATGATTCATGGTGACGTGGAACTAAAGGGCAGAGGTAAAAATCAAATTTGGGGGGTAGAGGGTAGGGACTGCTGTCGATATACTGTGAACACATAACATTTTCATCTTTTGGGAAGGTTGCATCAAATTGCTTTTATTCCTTCCAGGACTTATTACATTACAAAAGCGAAATAGAGCTCGTGCAGTTAGGTGTTTTTAATTCCACTGGGTGAAGGCTTCCCCCTGCCTTTTGAATTTCTAAATCCCAGGGTTATGGAAATGGGGAAAATTTCACATCTCATGTCTGGACGAAACAGAACCTCCTTATAGGAGTCAGTTAGGTATGTCATATGCCAGAAAGCAGGATAGAAATTTAAGAAGAATTAGCACAAGTGCTTGGGTGAGGTTTTTGTGGGATTTAATTAGCACTTTCCATTTTGAAGGAAGTGGGAGTCATAAATATGTAGATTAGGTACAGGCATGGCCCAGATGCAACCTTTCAAAGTTATTTCAGGTAAATTAATTTCCATCAGATACATTATGCAATCTTAGAGTCAACTTTAATAGCATACATTTAGGGAGATGCTTGAGGCATTTTGAAAATGGATGTCTTTGCCCAGGGACTTTACCAATCATCCCTAATTGCTAGTGCAATCTTAAGCAGTTCATATGGAATCCATAGGAACAGAGCGGCTTATTAATAAATAAATCTGCAACTCACTTGGGTTTCTAGCCCCTGAGTTATACTTGTGATTGAAATCCTTGCATGTCTACTGCTAGAAAAGAGACTTGGGGAAAGGGACCTGACCCTGCTCAGCCTATTTCCTGTTCACTACAAGGTAGAAAATAATTGTGCCTGCCTCAGAGGATTGAAGTGAAGATTAGGTGAGATAAATCCCCGGAAAGCATCTAATGCAAAATGACTTTGAAAGAGGTTTATGGTAAGTATTCAGTCAATGGTAGCCATTGTTACAACTGTCATGTTTTGTTTTCTCCTTCTCCCCAAGGGCCCTTACATCCCTGTTTTGTTTATGGCAAAACTGAGACCGAAGAAGTGCCTTGGGGACTTCGTGCAGCCAGGACTCGGTCCTAAACTCTCGGTCCTAAACTCTCGACTGTCAGCCCTCTGTCTTCTTGTTCAGTCCTCCCTTGACATTTGGTTCTGCCTTGTTGGTCACAGCTGGGCTTACTTACCTCTGTGAGGCGGACTCAGATCCTTCATCGGTGTGTTCTCTGTTTTCACTTCTGCTTCCTTTGCTGGTTCAGAGGGAGGTTCTTTACTGCTAGTACCTCTGGTAGTACCAGCAGTGGAGAAGACCTAGGATACAGTGCCCAGAGGCACATTCTCTGCTCCTAACCAGCTGTGTGTGCCTGGCCGCTTCACTTAGCCTCTCTGATCTTAATTTACTCTCTTGTGTATTAGTGGTACAAACTCCTGCCCTGTCTGGGAATATTACCTATAAGTTATCTGAAGTGATGAGGATCACTTCTAACAGTAGTATACATGAGAAAGTGCTTTGATTGGTATGAAGCTGAAGATACATGTGAGATGCCAAGTGTGGCATCAGAGGCCTTTGATTGCTTTGTTGGCTAGAAGATGCCCAGTTGTTTCATTCTGTCTAGAGCATGTATGTATAATCGCCTGTACCTTAGGGGTGAAAACATGTTTTTCTCAAACATGCAATTTTTTGCTCATTTGGTTCCAGCTTTGTGTCTGTGTAGATTGGATGAGGGGCTGGGGAAACCATTTTAAAACATACCAAAAGGCTTCACCAAACACCACCACCACCAGAATAAAACAACCCCAGAAACCCCTAAATCAGGTCTCTCAAGGGCAAAACAGTCTCCATACTTCCGGTCAGCAGATCCTGTTCCTGAACGTTGTGTGACCTTAAGCAGACCATTTAACCTCTCTGGATTTCAGATTCCTCAGGTGCAGAGATGGCCTAGACAAGTCTCTGTGGTTCCTCGTAGCTTCACAATTTTGGAGGTGTAGGTACAGGGCGGAAAAAGCATGGTGTGGTTTTGCCGTTCTGGCTTTGTAAGTCTTGTGTGCCTTTTGCTGTCCAGAAGCAAACCCGGGTTCTGAATTGGTCCAGCTCACTTGGAGCAAGGCCCACTGCAATGGTTCAGGCAAGCCTCATTCAGTTTGGAGTTGACCCTGGAAATCAGGGAATCTTTCTTTGGACCACAGCCTTGCTATTGCTATTTACCAAGTGAGAGGAGTTAATTACAGAGAAAAAGAGTTACCTCCACTGAGGCCTGCCAGATGCGCTCTTCGCCTGCGTCCCCGGGTCTGCACCAGGATATTGCTGAGGGCAATGTCCGTAAGTTTGTGCGTATGAGCTGGAGAGATAGAAGAGACAAACTTCCATTTTCCAGCAGCCTAGCTCCATGTGGCAGCCCTGTGCTGGCTGAGCAGGTGATGTGATGGAAAGGCGTAGCTGGAGGGTGGCTGCATGTTAGCCACATCTCTTCCCCCAGTTGGCTTCCAGCATAATCTGCCCCTACTGCCCGTGTCATGGGGCTAAAGTAACCTACCCCTTTAGAACATTAGGCCACTCGGTTGGGGCATGAGAGGCGTCTGCTAATGTGTTACGGATTAACACAGAAAGCCATTATTGGCCATTAACGCCATAAACTGATTTCTTACGGGGCGTGGGCCAGAGAGGTCATGGATGGCAGAAGAATGGAGGAAAAGAAAAGATCTAGAACCCTGGCATTGCTAAGGAAGGTGGATGTGACTGATGGTGTAGCGATAGCCTCAGAAGAGCAGGCACCTTCCAGGAGAGAAGAGGGCTAGACAGGCAAGTCAAGAACTGGGTGGGTTCAGAGAGGGAGGAAGTGCATCCAGTGCAGGCAGGAAGGGAACCGAGGAAAGGCTCCATGGCGAGGCGTTGTTTGGCTGTTCCCAGTGATTTGGACAGGCAGAAACGAGAAGCATCCTAAACAAAGGGAACGGTACAGGCAGAGACTCTGAGGAGGCCAGGTGCTAGGCAGGGCACACAAGAGAGAGCAGCGCGGGAGTCAGAATGGGCTAGGAGTCAGAATGGGCTAGGAGCACATAAAGGAAGAGCAGGTCAGGAGGTTTATGGGAAGACAGTGTGAAGGCACCTGGGTGGTGGGCTGAGCTGTTCATCAGATATCTTGTGGGCAGGTAGCTTCTGCCCAAAGCTGATTCAAGTTGAGTTCACTTCTTGGGTGGTAAGTGTAAGCCATTTAGTGCACGTGGAAAGTTATTCCCAAGCCTCCCACTCTCAGACCACAGGGGAGGTAGAGTGTTCGGCTTGTGGTCAGGAAAGCTGTGCCCACTTAAGCGTCTCTGATGTCTCCACAGGCATATTTTTGTCTTTCAAAAAGTTATCAAGAGATTAGTAAGAAAATGTCATTAAAGAATCTGGTTTCCAGAAAGAGAAGTCAGAATACTTAGTCCTAGGAAAGACCATGATTTAAAATTACAGAAAAATAATAAAATATCTCCACTGGCCGGGGGCCGAAAGGGGTGCAAAGAGGGTCTGAAGATGGTTCTAAGTTAAAAGAACCAGTCAGAAACAGAAAAGAAGACACCACTTGCTTGTCATTTGGTGCACACGGTAGAAATCAAAAGAAGAACCTCTGTTTCAGTAGATGATGTTTTCTAGACAAGCGTTCTGTGATCCAGAATAAGTTGACTGTGGCCAACAGCCAGTCTCCTTGTTCATAGTAATGGGCTCATCTTTGTGCAGCACACATGACAGATGCTAGCAGGGTAGAAAACATATACGCAATCCAATCGCAGCTCTAGAGGAATGCAGGAGAATAGAAGAAAGGAGTAAAATGTGCTGGGATGGAACATGTCACAGGCTGCCTGTGGGTAACAGAATTATGAGTCATGCGGGCCGTGGCAGTGAATATGTTTTCTTAACACTTCTCTGTCCTTGAAAATTTTTATTTAGTAATCATGTAGTATTTCCATAGGGGAAAAAAGTACGTAGAGGTTGTTGTAGGGGAAGAAAAGGGACTCCCGTAGCAAATTATTCCTTATTTGACTCTGACCTGTCTCCAGACCAGGATGAGGTGGGTCAGGGTGGGATTAAGTCACCGGGTCGTACCCCATGGTGCTGAGTTTCTCCTTCTCTCTCTCTCCCTTTTTGTCTCCATGGTAGCCAGCTGTGCGATTCACCTTTTTCTTCTTTTTTTAATAGTTCACGGATCCTTGCTCTCCTTGGTTTCCAGCACGTCATCAATTTATTCTACAGTGAGTATGAGTCAGTGCTCTGTAGCTATGACCATGAGAACTGGGGCTCCCTCATCAAGTGTGTCAAGAATAAAATAGAAAATAAACTTGCTTCTCCTAGAGAAAGTATGTCCATTGTAAGGGGCTCGATTAATTAGGGAACAAGATTTGAAAATTCACAAAGAGCTATTGACTATAATGTGTCAACCAGTAAATCAGGAACTGACTCCTTTGTTAAAGTGGCATTGTGCTTTGGGTGGTAACCAGGCAGAATGTGTGAGAAGCCTTGGCCACCTGCTGGTAGCCTTCCAAAAGAAAGGCCTTGAACAACTTCTGTCTGCCTCAGTTTCTTTATCTGTCAAGTAGAAAGAATAACGGCCCCTACCTTGTGGAGTTGTAGTGAGGATTCAGTGTTAGGAAGATGACCTTGCACTACAAGATAAATGCCTTGAGGACAAGGACTTTTTCTGTTTTTATTCCTAGCACCTACAACAAAGCCTAGCACATAGTAGAAGTTCAAAAAATAGGCTTGAATGAAATAAGGAAATGCATGTGAAGCACTGAATATAGGGCACACACAGCACAGAGCAGATATTGGCTGTCACTCGTGTTGGCTATCATCAATGAGTCGTCTACGGAACAAAAGCCACATACATCAAATATGGTTCTGGATTTATTCAGGGGTGCTTGCCTTTTTATAGCTATATGCATAACTGTTGATCTTCAAAACTTTACTTTGGGAATTCCTGTTGGAAGAAAATCATTTTATTAACAGAGAATTGGAAGTTCTTTAGCCCTTAATTCCATGGAGGACAGATGTTTTAGTAATTAACTTTTTGGTAATGCCAGGTTCCTGGGATATATATATGTAGCAGGACAAACTCTGTGGCCCCTTAGAAGCTAAAGGCCATCCCGGAATCAAGTGAAAGAGACCAGGGCCTGACTGTTCTTTCTTAGGCCTATAGCGAGCAAACAGACTTCAGTGACTGCTGACATGGTCTGACTTGAAGGACCTTGAAATGATCTCTTCTGCTCCTACCCACCTTGCCCCTCCCCCTCCAGAACACCTTGTTCCTCAGCCAGTCATCTTGTCTGAAATGTCATCACAGAACCCTCACTTTTTCATTTCTTAGAGATTATTGAAGCCTTTGTCTACTGAGAAAGCATAGAGATGACCTTCTGTCAACTAGTCCATACATTCAGTCCTTTCTTCCAGAGGGGAAATCTGTGACATGGATGCCAAGATGGTACTTTCAAACCCAGATTGACTTCTTGAACAGGATTTACTGGCCTGCAGTCTGTGCTGGGCTCTGGGCTAAGCCCCAAGGGTGAGATGTAGGTGGAGAGAGGAGCCTGCTTCTGAAGGAGGAAGCCAGAGGCGCTCAAGGACACCTAGGGTTATGAGACTCTACCTTCACAGGGTTGGTGCAGAGCATCTAGGGCAGACATCGCTGTGCCCAAGCCCCTTGTTTTCCCGGTGGAGTTCCCAGAGTTTCCTGTCAACACAGAGAGGGTTTCTTCCTGGAAGAGTGAAAAACAGGGGCTGGCCTGCATCAGCCAGCCTCGGAGGGAAAGAGCTTGAGCTTCTTCCGCTGTGAGAAATCAAATGGAGGAAGCCGTCCCTGGCGTTCCCTGGCCACACTGCGTTCGTGCAGACCACTGCAAGGCCTTGTCGTCAGGCGCCTTTCCGTAGCTCCTGTTCTCGGTGTGTGGACAGGAAATTTCAAGTGATTCTTTCTGAGTTGTTAGAAATTCACACATTACCAGAGACCTAGGAATAATCTTCCAATTCCATGTTTAACTAGATAGCCAGAGACCCAGGGCTTTGTCTTTGTTTTTTCTCACTGTGTGACTTTGTACAAAGGACCTCATTATTCCGGGTATCTGTCAGTTTTGTCCTTGCTCTCAGGGGGCTGGGGGGAGGTCCTCAGGGGTGCCTACAACCTCTGACATTCACCGAGTCGAACGTTCTCCTTTACCTGTGCCTTCTCTGAGCATATAGGTTATTTTTGTAGACATTTATAAGAAAAAAATAGTCCAACGTTTGAATGTTTTCATGCTAGAGTAATCTGCTCGTTCCAGACTGTATCTGGCTACACTGCTACCTCCCAGCATGGGCGTGCGGTCCCTTACCTCTAATTCGCCTCTTGGCAATGATAGAATTCTGAAACTCATGCACCTTTGTAAATGTAAAGGTGAACAAGTTCTTCTTTGTTGTCTAAAAGGAGATTAATGGGGTTTCCTAAGCTGCCACCAACCCAGACCTAAGAGCCTGTTTAACGGCTGAGTGTCTTAAAGGCCCTTATTGGATAATAATAGGGTTTTTTTTCCCTGATACCTAATTCTTGGATATTCAAGAATGCTCATTCTGGCTAAAAATCGCCTGTAATTTTAGTTACAAAGGAAAGAAAAGGCCACATGTTGGTAGTTGGTAAACAACTGCCTGCCGAGGAGTAGAGAAAATCTAAGGGGTCACATCTGGCATCTGGACTGGCTTTCCTGGACGGTAGGGGGCGGCAGTTGAGTTCCTGGGGGAACTGCCGAATGGAGGGAGGCTCCTGGCCTCACTTAGAGTTCCCAGATGTACAGAAGAGCAGCAACTGGGGGTAAGATAAAAAACACGTGGTTTTCCAGGCTGCTGTCTTGAACAGGGCCCCAACCCTAGACACAGGCGGGCAGAATGACAGACAGTGGCAGAGGTATGGGAAAGGGGGTTAGGCCCGCGGACACAAGTGTTTAGAGGCAGGGCTCATCCTATATGGATGGTTCAGCCGGCTGACAGACCTCCGCTAGCTTCCCAAACATTGGATCGCTGTGACGTCCTCACCATTAACTTTCTCCTTTGGGTCAGACTCCGAAGTCAGGGGCCTGATTTCAGGAAGGCCTCAACATGAGAATGTAGCTGTAGTAAAAGAGGAGGACAATGTGCTCATTAAGATCATAGACTGTAGAGCCGGACGACCTTGGGTCCAACCCCAGCTCTGCCTCGTAACAGCTGTGACCGTGGGCAAATTATTCAGCCTCAGTGTGCCTCAGTTTCCTCATTTGCAAAATGTAAGTGAATAGTATTCGTACCTACTCGGGGGTTGTTAGGAGGATTAAATGAATAATGAACGGAAAGGGCTTAGAACAGTCTCTGGCACGTGGTAAGCTTTCAGTAAATGCCACTTACTACCTGAGGTGAGGAACTTAGCAGTCATGCTCGCAGCTGTACCCCGGGTTCTTAACGCAGTGCATGACACATAGTAGGATATCCATAAATGTTTGATAGGTGGTGGTAGTAGGCACGAATAGATGAACACAGATGGACAAAGAGGGATGGGTGAATAGTCCCAGAGAGGGAAGAGTAAGCCCTGAGGACATCTCCCAGTGTTCTCCCGAAGACGTTTCTTAGATGAGATCGTCCAGCTGTGTGACGTTAGGCGAGGTCTGACCTCTCTGTGCCTCAGAAGGAATACAGACCTACTCTGTAGGGCTCTTGGAAGGATTAAATGGTTTGGCCCCAGTATTCCTAAAAACCAGTTGCTGTTGTTAGAAGCCAGCTGGAGGGAGGGCCCTCCTGGGCAGGATTAGGAGTCAGGGCAGTGGGGTGGGGAGCAGGGGGCGAGGGGAGATCGGACAGGAACCAGCCCTCCACCTGCCACAGCTGATGGGTGTAGGGTCTGCGGGGTGTAATCAATCATACCGCTCTGCATTCTGAGCTAATGGAGAAGTAGACCCCAGAGTCAGATGCTGATTTTTTAAAGTAACAGATTTGTCACTGGTAGCATTGGATTAGGACACATATCTGGGACCCAAGGACAGAAAAAGAGTCTTTACTGATTTTCACTTGCCTGCCTGGCTTCCAAGTCACTGCCCCACCCCTGGGGAAGTGCGAATGGAGGGCAGGGGAGTGGACGGAAGGTAGGAACGCTTGCAACATTGCCCCAGAATGTGGGGGTGTCATCTTTTATGAGAACCCAAAGAGAAGGAAAGAAAGGTTCCCGCTGTTGCAGGTTCCCTCTCGGGGAGGAGAGGGGTAGCCTTCTAGTCCCTGGCTGGCGGGTAGCTGTGTCCGCGCATATACAGGGCCCAGTAGGGAAGACTCTCCCAGTGAGAGGGCCCCGCAGGCTGCACCCGTACCTCCCCGAGTCCCAGGTAACTGGGGGCCGTGAGGTGGGGCAGCGGGAAGATCCTCACAACCCGGGGAGTCAGCAGGCTGGCTGCTGGGGGCTCCCAGCCTCCCTCATTTGGGAGGCCTTCCTGCCCTGCAGCTGCTCCTGGGGCAGTGCCTCAGAGAGAAGGGAGGGAGGGGTGAAACGGGCGCGTAGCCCATGAGCGGTCCTCCAGCGAGGATCACCACATCTCGTATAGAACGCCCAGTCATGTTACAAATTCAGATGGACGACTGATAATTGTTTAGTATAAGTTGTCCCCAGCGTAGCATGGGATGGGCTTAAACCTGTATTTTTATTTGCTATATTTGGACATCCCGACCTGGCTCAGCCCCTCTCGTCTCGCCTTCTCCTGAGCTCCTGGCCTTTCCGTCTCCATATGGGAGCAGGGGGCTCCTCACAGCCAGAACAGTCGGGGTGCTCTCACTCTTCTTGAGTTCTTATAACTGCATGCTGTTTGTATTTGGCCGTTCTGATTGGTCAAATCAACTGAACCAGTTTATCCAGAAAAATACACCAGGAAAGAAACTTGTAACTCTTCAGGACTGCCGTAAGCATCCCAGTCTGGTGTTCCCCACAGCCTACACTGCCCCGTTCTTTGTTCCTCAACTGGTCTAATTTCCCTTATGATTTCCTTACAGCCAGAAGAAAAGTGCCAGTCGGAGGTAAGGAACAGTTTGCTGGTTGGATTTCCCGCTTCGCTATTAACCATTACTTCGCCCCGCTCAGCCTGGGAACAGGCTCCTTAAGCAACTCTGTCCCTTGCCGCCTTTAGATTCGCAAACTGCGGCGGGAGCTGGATGCCTCACAGGAAAAGGTTTCAGCTTTGACCACGCAGCTGACCGCAAACGTGAGTACAGATACTGGGTGCTAGCCACGGGCGGGGGGCAGCCCCTGCTCCCTTCTGACATGACGTCAAGGCCGCCTGCCCCTGTGGACAGTGGAAGCAGTCCCGTGGGAGCCTTTAGCCTCGTGAGTGTGAGCGCCCACTCTGGCGCGTCCTGGCTCTGCGCTCCGGGCAGCGTCTTTAACCCCTGAGCCTGCACTGGCTTCTCTGTGCAGTGGTGGACGGTAAGCACTGGCTCCTCTGTGCAGTGGTGGACGGTAAGCACTGGCTCCTCTGTGCAGTGGTGGACGGTAAGCACTGGCTTCTCTGTGCAGTGGTGGACGGTAAGCCTCAGCTCTCCGGGTTGTCGTGTGGTCGGTACTGGAATATGTTAAGGGCTCAGAAATGTTTGTTTCCCTTTTCTTCTTCTTTCCAAAACTTTTCATCTTCAGCGGGGGGGGGGGGGGGGGGGGGGGGGGGGGAGAAAAAAGAAAGAAATCTAAGGCTTCAAAGAAATAGCTGACTGTTCTATAATTATAATATACACAATTACGTGTTCAGGAAGTGCTGCCAACCAGCATTGAATTCAACAACTGTTTAAGTGCCAACTATGCCCCGGGCACCATGGTTTCAACAGCAAAGCAAGCACGATCACGGTCATCCTTGTGTGCTTTCTCTGGTACCGCAGAGAGACAAAACTGTTTTGCTATGACATGATAACTCTTAAGACAGAGATAAAGGGAGAAGGTTGTGGGAATATGTAAGGAGGAGCACCTCACTCAGTCTTGTGTGTGTGTGTCGGGGTCTGGGGGAGATCAGGAAAGACTTCCCGGAGGAGGTGGCATCTGAGGGATGCTGTGTAGGGGAGGATGCATGGGAAGGCAGCATTCTAACCAGAGTGCAAAGTGTATTTGTGCAAAAGCCCAGGGTGAAGATCTTAGTGCATTTGGAAACTCTTAGGTAGCTCAGTGCGTAATTAGAATCTATGGCTTGGATATGGGGAAGAGGCAAGGGGAGGGGGGAGACGGAAGAGAGGAGGAGAGGCATCAAAGAAAAGCTAGGGGCATGTCCACACATCACAGAGGCTCTCAGCTCTTAGGTGGAGAGTTTGGGCTTCCTACTGAAGTTAGTGGAGCCCTACTGGTGTGTTTTAAGCGGAGCAGTGAGGCGGTTCGGTTTGCTCTTCACGGAGCTTCCTGACCGTGGTGTGGTGATAAGATTAGGGGGTCAGAGTAGAGGCAGAGACTTCTGGTCTGCAAAGTAGCCCCCCTGCAGAGCTGTGAGCTGGTGAGGGCTGATGTTCGGAGGGCAGAGCCTGAGGTTTTGGAAGGTGAGGAGGTGCCCCTGAGGCAAGGCATCCTGCCGGGAGCTCACAGACACTTGTGTGTGAGCCTCTCCAAAAGCCGCCTGCACGACCCCATAATATGCTGTTAAAATGAAGAGCAACTTCAAAAGGTTGTCTTCCCTGGACCAGGAAGCTGAGTCAATACTCGAATGAATCATTTACCTGGGGTTTTTGCCCAGGTCGTTCTGGCTGAAGCCTGGGTCAACTGAAGGAAATCATTTCTCTTTAAAGTCTGCACATGAAGTGCCCCGTGCAGTACTTGACTTAATTACAAGCTCAATAACTCGTAACTTCTCTCACTATTGTTCATTCTCCTGAGTTCTCTCACATTTCTGGGAGTCTTTGAATTTTTTCTCATCCTCCCATTATCAGGGTGATATCATTATCCTTCTTTATTCTCTTTGCTTCTGCCACCAGCAGTAATGCTATCAAAAGAACATCAGAAAGTGATGTGAGATCTGGATTTTGAAGCTTAGGCCTGACTTTTTAAAAAAAAAAAAAAAAATCCCCAGAGGTATTTTTCTATGAATAGTCTTCATCTGGGTACCATTCGAATCGAAGACCAACCCCCGACCCAGTGAGCCAATCTGGATATAATCCAAATGTGAGGTTTGACTGCAACCCCCATCCCAAGTGATTTGGAGCTACTCCCCTAGTTAAGAATTACCACTGTCCTTTGGTACCCTTTTACTCAAAAAAATAGTCATTAGTTTACTTATCAAAAAAACGGGGGTTCATTGCTCCAGTGACCTGGTGCTGCCCCAAGGGCCTTACATTGGGCCATTTGGAACTCTACCTTCTGTTCCAGAAGAGTCTGAGTGAGATCCCTTATATTATCATTATTCCAAAAGTATGTTTTGCTCCTCACCAAAGCCACTGAATCCAGTATTGTTTGAAAGTAAATATTTAGTCTTACCACACACCACTGGCCTCGCTAACGTGTTTTATTGTCTGCCATCTTCCTCACAAGCCAAGCTGTGTTTGTTTTTCTAGGACAAACTACTCAAAGCCACCTTCTCTGGGTGTTTTTATACGATTCGTGTTTGTTTTCCTGGGAATGTGAGAATGGCACTTGGTAAGAAGTCAGCTGTGTGGCTCTGAACCAGGCTCCGAACAGCCTCTCAGCCCGTGTTTTCAGTTGCTCGTGACCCAAAGTCAGTCCTTTCTCTCGACAGCAAAATGCGAACCTCTGGTTCTTCAGCGCAAATGTGGCTGCTTCTTGAGTTTGCAAAAACACTTTCTCAATAGCAGTCTTCTTGGGGTCAGGTTTTTGTTTTTAAGCAAATAGAAAGTATGAGTGCCCACAAATAGAATTCTGGGTGGCAATCAAAGAATTGAAATAAATGGAAATTCGGTCATTGAAAGTTGACCTTGGCGTTCCTTTGAAATGCAAGGTTAGCAGTAATTCTTTTCAACATCCTTGCCCTGGCCCTGTTCCCTTCATCCACTATGTAAACAGTCTTGAATTGATTGGCTTTGCTTCTACCATATTCTCTTAGGCAAACTAAATTAAAGCATATCTCTTGATTTCAAAATGCAACAGCATTTTCTCAGTTTTTAATAGGGAGAGAGCGTGCATTCAGAAAGAAACTGGGCAGTCCATTGAACATTTCTATTACAAGAGGTCCTGCTCCCTGCTAACTCCTACAGCTGTTGGAAAAAAAGACCCAATAGTTTATGCTAGAGATGTCTTATCCAGTATGTTCCGGTATGATGGAGTCTGGTGACAGGCCTCCTCACTTTTCCGATCTCTCCTCTTTAAGTTCAAATGTCTGCTGACCCTCCTCACAACCCAGGACAACGCCCCACCTGCCCCCTGGTTGTTCCCTTTGATTCTTCACTGAGTACATCAGTCCTCTTTTCTTCTAGAATGTTACATACCACATGATCAGATCTCACTTCTCCTTCCTCCCAAGACTCACATTTCCTCTGCTGGCGCTTCTCTTTCTCCTGCATCTGCCCACCCCTCTCCTAAAACCCTTTCCTGATCTCTCCCCACCTGTTTTTTCTCATCCTGTCTTTTGTCCCTTTCTCAATCCCAAACGTCTCCCTTTCCTTTCCCCACAGTGTCCGTTCATTCCTATGTTTATAGACCTATATTCACCTGTATTGTTTCACTTAATTAATGCTCACAATAACCCCGGGAGGAAAGTAGATACTGCACCCATTTTAAGATGGAGAAACTGCAGTCACTAGGATTAGCTCTCTTGTCCACTCTTTATTCTTGATTTTAATCATATTATCAGGACCCGCAGTCAGCCACCCAGTGCATCACCTGCTGCTCTGTGGAGGAAGGAGGAGGCTTCGTGTTAGGACATGAGGTTGCATCTTGTCCTTGAAGAGGGGTGCAGAGAAAGGGGCAGACAGAAAAGCATCCCGTTTCTCAATTCTGAGATACATGTTTTTCCCCCACATTTTTAACATCTCTGCAAGTGGGATGCATATTTTAATTATAATTGGCAGCATTTTTCAAGATGTTTTAGTACTATATGAAATAGTGGGGTGTCTGATGTCGTGTTCTGACAGAGGTGTCTAAGAGTACAGAGGGGCCTTGGGGGAAAGTCCTAACTCCCTGGAGGAACAGGGGAAGGTTTCTCCAAGGAGGTAGCAGCTGGGCCTTTCGGTGGCTTTTTATTAACCAGATTATAACAAGCAAAATATGCCAGCCACTTTGTTCATCCCTTCTACAAACATGCTCGACATGAGCCTCTCCTGTGAGCTTGGCACTTGGTGAACAAAGCACAGGGGAGCAGAGGAGACAGACGTGAGGCAGCAGTCACAAGAGTCCCTGTGTCTCTCACTGTGACACCGAAATGCACATAGACCAGCCGTCCACATGCTTTTGCGAGTGAACACGAGGGAACCAGCCCATCTGGGGGTGTCATGAAGATATGAGCTGAGATCTCTTGAGAGGGATGTATAAAAATCAGACAGGGAGTTAGTGGGGGAAGAGCATTCCAGGCAGAGGGGAAGGCAGGTATAAAGGACCTAAGGCGGGAAGAAGCACAGGATCTTTAAGGACGTAATAAGCTGGAGTGACTGGATCTCAAAGAGAGGTGGGGAGTGGGGCTCCAGGGGCTGAAGAAGTAGATGGGAGCTAACCCACGTGGCCCCAGGGAGGATTTCAGCCTTTAAGACCCAGCACCCATTGGGCCCTCTTGCCTTGCAAGGTAATCTAAGGCTGTGTCTTTCCTCCTCCAGGCTCACCTGGTGGCGGCCTTTGAACAGAGTCTTGGAAACATGACAATCAGGCTCCAGAGTTTGACCATGACAGCTGAGCAAAAGGTAAAGCACTCCTCCCTGCTTAGAATTAACAGCAAACCTCCAAATCAGACTCTCTCTTGCCCCAGAGAACGGTATAGATTTTAGCGTATTTGAACCTTTGGAGTCGAATCGTAAAGAGTTGCACCCTGTTGTGCGCAAATACGGCCCAGATGGGGGTGGGGTGGTGGAGTGGCAACAACCGTCCACATCTCACAGCCCTATTTCTGCTGCCTTTTTTTTTTTTTTTAAGGATTTTATTTATTTGAGAGAGAGGGAGGGAGAGAACAAGCAGGAGGGAGGGGTGGAGAGAAAAGCAGACTCCCTGCTGAGCAGGGAGCCCCACACACGGCTCGATCCCAGGACCCTGAGATCATGACCTGAGCGAAGGCAGATGCCTAACTGACTGAGCCACCCAGGCACACCTATTTCTGCTGCTTTTATGTGCTTCTATGCCCGCTGAAAATTGATCCAGCCTAACGCACAGGACAGAGGTTTTGTGGAACTCCTTCGTTGCCTGCGCTGCCATGCTGAAACCGAGTTGCTCTTCATTGGAACTCTGTACAGGATGATTGTATGATGACCAGTATTTCTTGCTGTTCCTCAGGATTCAGAACTGAATGAGTTAAGAAAAACCATCGAGCTGCTGAAGAAACAGAACGCAGCCGCCCAGGCTGCCATTAATGGGGTCATTAACACACCGGAGCTCACCTGCAAAGGTAAAAGAAAGAGGAGCAGTCTCCAGCCCCATCTGCCTGCCCTTAGGAAACCCCCCCCGGCAACATGGGGCACAGCCTCCCTGCCCCGGGGTGCGTGTCCCTGTCAGTCCGACGGGTCCTGGGAGGCAACGCTTTCAGTCCATAATTCAGGGCCCTAGGAAGAGAGCTCTTCCAGCTCAGCCTCTTCCCCGATGTATTTCCAGAACGGAAGGAGATCTGTTTCTATTGGCAAAGTATCAAAAGTGTTTCACTTAATTTCACCTGTGCCCTTATCAGGCTCTGATATTTACATGTGGATGCGGGCCAACCCGAAACTAGCATCTCATGTTCATCCAGGGAAGTTATTTCTGAGTAAACTGCTTCGTGCTTCTGTATCTTACTTGGGGGGCCAAATGGGGCTGTGAGGACGAGAGCCCCCCCCGTTGCAGTGTGATACACCTGCTGATGGTAGAAGTCGCAGTGGCAGCCGGCATTTACGGGACACTCACCGTGTTCTAAGCACTCTGCTCTGTGTTGTAAATCATTCGTGATGTCATTTCCCTTCCTTGACCACCTATGAGTGCGGCGCTGGTCCTCTCCTCATTGGACAGATGACAACACTGAGTTGCGGGGCCGAGAGTCCCATCCAGAGGTCGCAGAGTAGTAAGATACAGAAGTGGGGCTCCAACCCAGGTCTCTCTGACTCTGCAGCCAGTGTTCTTAAAGAGTAGGCTGTGGGTTTCGTTCTGTGCTTGCACGGGAAACTGGCCATACCCTTTATTCGGCATCACCGTTATTTCAGATATCAGGTCTCCTGAAACGCAATGACAGAGTTGAAATGGGAGGGATTAGCAAGAGGTGGCCAGCCCGAGTAAGCGAGGAGGGGCTCACCCACTTTAAGGCCCTGAGATGAGACGGGCTCGGCATTGCCAAGGGGCCAAGAGAAGGCTAGTGAGGCAGGAGCATATAGAACAGAGTGGGGCGGGGTGGTGCCCCGACAGCACATGACTGCCACCGTTCAAAGACATAACCGGTGCCTGCCTCAAGCTTAAGAGAGCTGGCAGGGGCCGGGGGGCGGGTTGAGAATTCTCTCTCGAAGCCTCCCCTGACCTCTTTTTGGTGGAGTGGCTAAAATTGGGCCCTGCTTTAATTGACTAAAGAGGGCATAGCATGTACCTGCTCGAGGATCTTAAAACCAGCCGCTGAGAGCAGAAGGTGATGTCAAATGGGAATTACCTAGCGATCCTCAGGGGTGTGTGGATTTAGCTGTAGGAGTCATTCCCTGGGGCAGAGGAGTGGGCTGAAGGCGGCAGCAGCTGATCTCCTGCCTTGGGTCCCCAGGAAGCGGTACCTCGCAGTCTGCAGACCTCCGCATCCGCAGACAGCACTCCTCTGATAGTGTCTCCAGCATTAACAGCGCTACCAGCCACTCCAGTGTGGGCAGCAACATAGAGAGTGATTCCAAGAAAAAGAAGAGAAAGAATTGGGTGAGTATACATCTAGAGACCTTTGTGGGTACTAACAGACCAATGTGTCTCCCCGCCCAGAGCATAGACCTTTGGGAGTGGATCCAAAGAACCTCTGGGTATGTTTCTACCAAATTCAGTGTTGTGCTCAGCCAAGCACCAGGACTTACGAAAGTACCACCACCTTGGAGTTTTTCTGTTCCATGAGACTTTATGTGACATACTCATCTTTCATATACGTGTCATTTCATCCTCCTCATAACGTTAGCCACAAAGTTCCAGGTACTAGAGCAAAATTACTCTTCAGTGGTTTCTTCTTACTTATTTATTTTTGGAGTGTGTACTGCTAGTTATCCCATCATTATCCATATTCCTTATCTGTTTCTTTACACAGTTACATATGATAGCATGAAACCAATTTTCTTTGAACAATTTTTGACCATGTCCTGTAAGTAAACGTTTCATAATGTAGATATTAGGCGTTAGTGAAAAGTTTTAAACTGGTGAGTTGTACTTCAAAATGGCAAGTTTAGTAGACCTGGTCTCCAATGCATTATTTCTCCGTGTTTCCATAATCCCAGTGAGCCACTTGAATTTCTGTACAGTGGTGTCTTGAGCAGTATTTTCCCATTCTCCTGGGAATATTATACCCCCCCACCCAGTTTTTTTTAAGTAGGTTCTGTGCCCAATGTGGGACTCAAACTCACGACCCTGAGATCAAGAGTTGCATGCTGCACTGACCGAGCCAGCCAGGCGCCCTTGTACCCACCCATTTTTTAGTTGTGTCAAGGCTGTGGAGCTCTGATTGACATTTACTGCTCCCTGTCTTCAGTGCAGGGATATTCCAGGCTGATCTGGAGTGGGCTAGTGCTCACAGGGCCCCATCCACCAGTGCTGACAACATCGTGTTTCCATAGTGGCTTCAATGTCCTCATTCATTCCATACACTTCTCCCTCATTTTGTGTTATCTTGGATGGGTGGCGAGGTCTAGCAATAGAGCAGTTGAGCTTGAGTAATTTCAGTTTACTGACGACTTGCACTAGAAGACTATAAGGCCAAAGGCCAGTTCAGTGTGACCCTCTCATCATTTTGATGAAGTTTTTTTCTTTGTTACTAATGGCTTTTAGTCAACTCATTCGCTATGCCTTAAATAGGATTAACATATGTTGCTGTTTCTAATATACTCTTGGTAAAATATGGTCTGACTTGATTATCAAAGTGATGAGAGAGAATTATTTTCTATGGAAAACAGTGTTGATCCATTCTCCAATTCAAGAACTAAAACTTACTTGCATTAGGACAGGTCTTGGTTGTTGGTAGAATTGGGGAAGTTGGATAATGGGCATTTTTCAGGTGATCTCACAACTTAATTCTGTCTAATCTTGGTAATCTCCTCTTCCAGTTGGCCCTTCACCAGAGGCTTTAGGTTGATGGTTTGTGTGCCAGATCCTTCTGTTTCTGTACCTGGAAATTTGATGAAAAGTAGGAAATGGGATCTCGATCAGCCACACTGGGACATTGCCATTCCTTATGGATGTAACACCGATGGGTTAGGAAAAAAATCCCATTAACTAGTTCAGAATGGCCTGTTTCACAATTTCTTAATGGCTAAGAAAACCTCCAGGATGTTTTCAGAAGGAAAGAAAGATTTTAGTAAAACAGAAATTACTTTTTAAAAGACCTTTTTTCAAGACAAAACTTAATTTTTTTTTGGTCTACAAAAATACGTGCTTATCATGGCTTTCAGAGAAGACCCTGCACTTGAATTCTTTCTGTTCTCATTGGAGTTTTCAGATCCATTGCATGATTTGGGGAATTTGTGATATGCTAGTTCCTTTTTCCCAATATAGTTAAGGCATTTCTTACAAATGCCTACTTTTTTTGAGTAACAAGTGAGACGGCTAAGTCCCTGCTTATTCTGTCATCTTATGTGTATACAAGGACAGTAGGAACTCCTAAGTAGATCTCTCCAAAGGCTCTACAGCCATGTTGGGACTAATGCAGCAGTGAAGCTATTCTCGCTGAGAAAAGAAGACACACACAGGCCAAAAAAAATAAAGTTAAGGCCTTAAGAGACAAAAGGGTGAGAATCACAGGAAGGTCGGGGGCAGTCATTTCAGCGAAAGAGGCTGGAAGAACTCGGATTGTAGGGACTTCCAGAAGCACTATTCCTTTCCTTTCATAATGAAGGAAGATGCCTCTAATGCTCTGGAAGATTCGTGTTCCTACCGGCAACCTCCTCTGTGTGTGGTGTTTACTATTGGCCATGTTATGTCTGAAAAGTCCGAGGCTTTCCCTGTCACTGGCTTTCTCTGTTAAAAATTGTCTTTTTTCCTCCCCCTTCCCCATTTTTGCTTGCGTTTTCCCTGGCAGGTCAATGAGGTAAGCAAGACCAACGTTAATATCAGATACCAAGCTAACCCATCCATTGATATGACTAATCTCCTCTGCATCCGTCACCATGTCTGAGCATCCTGCTTTGTTGCTGTGTAACCTCATCCTCCCGCCATCCATCTGCTGAGCCAGGCTCTGTCTTGCTGTTGGCATCTAGCCTCAAAGCAGGAGTAGGCATGGAATGTCACCCATAGGTCCAGTCCTTTGAGCTGTCAGCACCAGATAACTCTTCTTCCCTTACTGCACTGATTCGAGAGAGCTGTTGGGAACCTTTGTCATTGGTGGTGGGGGGAGGGAAACATGGGAGAATTAATTGCTCTTTTGTCTGCATGTCTCGGTTTTGCCAAGGCCTGAGTGTGGCTTGCCGCCCCTGCCTGGCTGACAGTCTTGTGTGTTCAGTTACGCAGCTCCTTCAAGCAAGCCTTTGGGAAGAAGAAGTCCCCCAAGTCTGCATCCTCTCATTCGGACATCGAGGAGATGACCGATTCTTCATTGCCTTCCTCACCAAAGTTACCACACAACGGTTCCACGGGTTCCACACCACTGTTGAGGGGCTCTCACTCCAACTCCCTGTAAGTCTGTCTGTCGGGGACGCACGTGGGGCAGACGATGCCTTTGGTCCCCAGGAACCCTCCCAAATAGGAATGGATAGGTATCCTGTTAACCATTCATTTTCTCCTTGGAGTCATGCTTTCATAGGCCTGGGCATGTTCTCCCAATGTTTTAGGACTGGAGAGGTCGAAAGAGAAAGGAATCTTACATTGTTCTGATGGTGTCACTGGGAGGCCATGGGCAAGTGCTTAACCCCTCTGTTTCCATTTTTTTATTTGTCAAACTCAGATAATGGTTGTTGGCTACTTATCCTATCCTAAGGGTCAGACAAGATAAATGGATGTGAAAGAGCTACAACCGTCTTGCTGAGAGGGGGAAGATAGTGTTGTGAATGTTAACAGTTTTTGCTGAAATTTTAGTTCATTTTTGTGATAAGACTTAAAGAGATTTCACCGTTCTTCTCTCAAAATTTGGTGTTGATTCTTTCTCTGAGGTCAGCACTCAGCAATTGGACGTTTAGAAAATGGAGGAGACTCAATGATAATTCTCTTTACCAAAGGGTTCTCTATTTGGTAAAATGATTTGTCACCAGGGACTCCCCAGTAAATTTTAAATGAGTCAATTTGTAAAGAGCTCTTCGGGAACGCAGCTGCTTCTGTTAAGTGAGACAGGTGTTTGCTCACGTGACATTGGCTTAGGTGCTATTCCCCTTGGCAACTAGGTATGCAGATGGAAAGAGTCCTCTTCTCTTGCCCAGCCAACCTCCCATGATTTCCAGTGAGCACCCACTGATCATTGCTCCATCAGGGGTGTAGGGAGACAATCCTGTGCCCCATCTAAAAACAGAAAGCCCAGACTCTGGAGGCAGGAGCGCATCAGGAATGGCTTGAGATGGACAGGTGGGGACCCAGGTGTCAGCTCAGAGGGTGGCACAGCCAGCTCCCTGCAGTGGTGAGAAAGATTGCCCCTGCCCCATAGGACCAAATTTCCTGAGAGGCCATGGTACACCAGGCCAAGAGGAAAAGAAGACCTGCAGCTCAAGTGCTTCGCAGGGACATTTGGTGAGATGAGACAGTGGCCAGAAGAGAGCCACTGTGGCTGGGGTTGGACAAGAAAGTGGGTGTCTGCAGACACCTCAGTTTCGTCATGGGTGAAAATGAGATTAATTACATCTCCTTCCCTGGATTCTTGGGAGGGCCCAGGCAGATACTGTGCATGAAGGACCTCCTTCCTCTACTTCTCCTTCAGTCTCAGGAGGTCAGGTGTAGGGAGCTGTCCCTAAGTCCACTTAAGCAGCAGGCCACCCTGCTGAAGACAGCAGCTGCACACGTCTCCCAAGGCCGGCTTACGAGATGGGTGCGGGCAGTGTGGACGAGGGGCTTGGCTGCGTCTTTGCAGCGCACCAACTGCCCAGACACCACAGAAGACAGGAAGTGGGAGACCGGAAACAGCAGAGAGCCTCCACTTCTCAGCAACCCCACCCACCCATGAAGCATGGCTCTGTTGGGGGTCTCCGTGTCACTTAATTAGATTAGCAGCTCCTCTCCTCTTGAGGAGCACCCTGGTAAGAGGGTGGCCGCGGGGACGTGTACTTCATTATGGGGTGAGGTGCAAACCAGGGTGGGTGGGGGGACGCACGGAGGATGGGACCGCAGTGCATCCCTGCAGTGGCCACCCCAAGTCTGGGCTCCTGTGTAAGGAATTACATACACACCCGAGAGTGTGAGTCCCGTTTGACCTGCAGGGAGCCTAAGAGGTAAATAAGGGAAAGGTTGCCTGTGACTTATGCAATCCATCATCCCAGAGCATCTCAGTTTCTCTGACCGGGAGAAAAAGGAACTCCTCCCTTATTTATTTGTGGATTTAAACGTTAGATGTAACAACCCATGTGAGTAGGGCTCTGCTCTAGATGTGCTTAACCAGAGTCCCACCCCTGGGGATTAGGGACCAGTGGGGACAACGCACGGTAGCTCATTTCACTTCTGAGCTTCTGTTCCCGCTCCACGCCACGCACTGGGTACAACAGTGTATGTACCAGACGGATGAAGTTCCAATTCTGGTAGACCCTGTATCCCTGGGCAAAAGGCAGGCATGAAACAGATCTGAATAAACTAGAAAACAATCAGCTAAGGGTTCATGCTGGGAATTAAAATAGTATGTTGGGATACAGAGTACTTGGCAGCAACTGTGGACAGGGTGGTCAGGAAAGGAGGTGACATTCCAGCTGAGATCTGCATGATAAGAGGGACCACTGGTTAGTTCTGGTCCATAACACTAGCTGCTGTAACATACACAGTCCCAGAGCTCAGTGGCTTGACACAGGACTGTTTATCTCTGGTTCACTCTGAACCCAGCACAGATCTTCCTCTCAGTGAGCAGGCGGCCTGCCTTGGAATGCTCTTCCCATCTTGTGTGCCAGCCGTCCCACAAGACCTCAGTTCTCTGCTGAGTCCTCTGTGTCCAGCCAGCAGGTGAGGTTGGCGGGGGGAGAGAGTGTGCAGGAGAGTTTTATGGGCCAGGCCTGGGGAGACACATGTCCCCTCTTCCCACAGTCCACTGTGCAGGGCCCTCCCACCCACAAGGAAAGAAGTGAAATCTCTGCACCCAGGAGGGAAAGGAAATAGGCTCCCTGCAGCCTTCCTGACCCCCAGATCTCAAGGAGCCTAAGGTGGAGACAGGCTGCGTGTGTCTGGGAAGAAGGGATGGCCCCCAGTGTGTGGCAAGTGTGGCTGCTGCATGATGGGAAGTAGAAAAGTGGTAGGAAAGGAGGCCATGGAGGCAGGCAGGACCAGAACTTGGGAGGCTTTGAAGTCAAAATAAAGTATCTGCTTCTGTGTGTGATGGGTTATCAACCATTGGAGAGAGGTTTTGTTTTGTTTTGTTTTTAAGATTTATTTATTTTAGAGAGAGAGAGAGAGAGAGACAGCAGGGGGTGGGGGTAGAGGGGCAGAGGGAGAGGGAGAGAGAATCCCAGGCAGACTCCCCTCCAAGCACGGAAACCGATGCCGGGCTCGATCTCATGACCCTGAGAGATCGTGATCTGAGCCAACATCAAGAGGTGGATACTTAACAGACTGAGCTACTCAGGCACCCCATGGAGAGGTGTTTTTTTTTCTTCTAAGTTTATTTAAGTAATCTTTGCACCCAGTGTGGGGCTCAAACTCATGACCCCCCAAGATCAAGAGCCACATGCTCCACTGACTGAGCCAGCCAGGTGCCCCGTGCATTGGAGAGTTTTAAGCAGGAGTGGAAGATCATCTGAATTCATGTTTCACAGAGATCAGTCTCCTTTCTGCAGATAAGGAATTAGGGGGAGCAAGAGTGGAAGTATGGCAATCACATAAAAGGCTAGTAGCGCTCTCCCCCTCGTCCACCCCACTCTGGCCTCTTTCCTGTCCTTGGAACACTCCAGTCACACCCCGCCCGGGCCTTTGCCTTTTCTGTGCCCTCTGCCTGGTACACTCTTCCCCTAGATAGTCTCTTTCTTCAGGTCCCTGCTCAATGTTTCCTTCTCACTGATGCCTTGCCTGTGCACCTTGCATAAAATAACACCCCCACCACAGCCAGCATTCCCCGTCACCCCCTTTACCCATGTTCTGTTTTTCACCACGGCACATGTCACCACCTGACGTGTAGAGTTCCTCAAGTTACTAGTTCTTTGTTCTTTGTCCCTACCACCACCACCACCCCAAAAAATGCAGTATAAGCTACATGGAGGTAGCTACTGTTGGATTTGCAGACATTCAAATATTAGGTGAAACAAATGGTAACTCAGAGTAGTAGTGAGTCCTGGATGGATTTAAGATGTGTTCTAGAAGAAAGTTGACAGCACGTGTGTGGGAAAGAGAAGAACGATCCTTGAGTATTCCTAGATTTGTAACTTGTGTACCTGGGTATGTTTCTGGAAAGGGTAGGAGGCATGGGCAGGGCAGGGCGGGCATCAGGAGCTCTGGCTTGACTGTTAAATCCAAGCTGCTCAGGAGACATCCATGTGGAGGTGCCAGCCAGCCTGGGACTCCTGGAGGTATAGATCTGGGAGACATGGGCTCACGGGTGGTCCTGAAAGCTGGGAACCTGGCGGATTCTCCACAGGGCTGGATAGAGATGGAGAGGAGCCAGGGGTGAGCTCTGGGTGCTCTCAAGAGCAAGGAAAACAGCCAGCGGGATGGGCAGAGGTGGGAGGAAACTGGGAGCAGAGAAAAGAAATTGCTGGGAGGGGGGCGGTAGCTGGGCCAAATGCTGCCGGGCAGCCGGAGAGGGTGAGGGAGAGTGGATGGTGCACTTGGCTGTGCCGCATCCCAGTGGCCATGGCGAGAATGCTGCCTCCAAACCCGCTCTCCCCGTGGGGATTGGGCGGGGCAGACTCTGGGCTCTGCTGCCCTTCTCTGGCATTCCACAGCATCCAGGCACACTGGAGGTGTTTGTTTTTGGTCTGGTTTTCCACAGTGTGGGCAGAGAGCAAATGCTTCTTTCCAACCATGAAGGGTTTGTAAGAATGTACAAATCTAGATGTGAGAGGAAGTTCAAAGAAGAAACCCAAGGCAGAGGAGTCAGGGGCCCAGAAAAGTTCCTCCCCTGTGGGCGAAAGGAATGGTGGTGTGGGAAGGCAGTTGTTTCCCACACTTGAGATGTTTAAAATTAGGTATGCCACCAGCCCTGCATCTGGCCAAGACAGCGGAAATATGGAAGTAACATGTTAGGGACTGAGTCGGAAAAAATCTACATCAGGTTGCTTCAGTAAGTCGTCCATGAGGTGGATGAGCATGTATTGAGTGCCTGCTGGATATAGTTCAGGAGCATAGACTCTAGACTTAAGGAGACCCACCAGATTCTAGCCCACTTCTGTTATCCTGATTTTTTTTTAATGGGCATGTTAATCTCTCTAGGACTCAGCCTCCCCCTTTTTAAAAGGGGATAATTGTTTTTTGGGGTTTTTTTAATTAATTTTATTTTATTATGTTAGTCACCATACATTACATCATTAGTTTTTGATGCAGTGTTCCATGATTCATTGTTTGCGTATAACACCCAGTGCTCCACGCAGACTGTGCCCTATTTAATACCCATCACCAGGCTAACCCATCCCCCCACCCCCCTCCCCTCTAGAACCCTCAGTGTGTTTCTCAGAGTCCATCGTCTCTCATGGTTCTTCTCCCCCCTCCGATTCCTCCCCTTCATTTTTCCCTTCCTACTATCTTCTTCTTTTTCTTTTTTTTTTTTTTTTAACATATAATGTATTATTTGTTTCAGAGGTACAGGTCTGTGATTCATCAGTCTCACACAGTTCACAGCGCTCACCGTAGCACATACCCTCCCCAATGTCCATCACCCAGCTACCCCATCCCTCCCACCCCCCACCACTCCAGCAACCCTCAGTTTGTTTCCTGAGATTAAGAGTCTCTCATGGTTTGTCTCCCTCTCTGGTTTCATCTTGTTTCATTTCTTCCTCCCTTCCCCTATGATCCTCTGTTAAAAGGGGATAATTGTAATACATCTCCAGGATGGAGTAAATTAAATAATATACATCAGATACCTGGCACAGTTGTTCATGTATTCAGTAAGCATTTGCTGAGCACCTATTACGTATTGGTCAGTGTGATTAGACACCGGAAGTGATGCAGAGAACCCTGGTCCTGGAACAGCCAGTAGCCATGCAGGGGGTAAACCTGTTGAGTGCAACCAAATTATCAGACGTAATAGAAGGCTAGTGTAGAAGGAACCAAGGGAAAAGGTGCTGTCTGGGGTACTAGGGTTAGAGACTAAAACTTAGCTGGGACTGTTGCAGAAGAACTTAATTTCGGAGCACCTGGCTGGCTCAGTCGGTGGATTCTGCCAGACTCTTCATCTCAGGGTTATGAGTTAGAGCCCATATTGGGTGGAGAGATTGCAGAAAATTAAATCTTAAAGAATTTAATTTTCAACGGCATTCTCTGGGTTGAGTAGGACATTTCTCCCATGTCATCTTGCAGTTATGTGTTTCTGAGAACCGGGCTATTTTGGGGGAGCGTGGTACTCTTAGTGCATTTACTCTCAACACAAGCTTTATCTTAGTTTGCTTCTCTTAGTAAATGTATTGAGTGTAAAGTCACTGGTCAGGTTTTGCGAAGTAGCCCATGTAATATATCCCCACAAAGCAGGTGCTGAAGAAGTCTTGTCTCTCTTGCTGTGAAAGCTTTCTAGGGGAAAGGTACAGACCATGTGAAGGAGACTGGGGCAAGTTGCCTGCCCCAGAGGGCCAGACACACCAGACTGATGGTGTGAATCGAAGCCAACAATTCCCTGCAATGAGCTGGAGCCTCCGAGGTCCATGCAGGGCGCGGTTTAGCAAAGACTGGAGTGTCACAATGGAATCCGGTTCAGACTTTACACGCCATTTAAACCGGGAAACCATACTCCTCTCTGAAGAAGAAACCAATGTTTGCGAGCTCCCTCTGCAAACCTTGGCAAACCAGAAAAGGCATGACAATATAGTTAAACCTTACAAACCATAGGCTAGTCAAAGCACAGGGGTGGGGGGGGGGCAGGGAAGAGGAGGATCTGCAGTCTAAAGACAGTTTCGGGAGTTTGTTAGAGGTTTTAGAAGATTTTGAAGCCAAGAAACTTCCTTGGCTGCTAACCACTTTTAAAAAAATCAGAGGTAGTTTTCCTCTCTTTGCATCTCTCAAATGAAAACCATTCAGATGCAGATCGAGAAAATAACAACAGAAAGATTTGGCCGTTCAGGTGTTAAACCTTTCTTCTAGTCCTTTCTGCCCCCAAAATACAATTACGTTTCTTTTAACAATTATAAATGGTTTCCCTCCAGCAACGAACATTTCCATACCCTCAACCAGTTTTACAGGTCAGGCTTTTTGTGGCCTCAAATCCAGGACTTGGTCTTGGAGAGTGGGCTGCACGATTATTTCTGCAGAGACCACATGTTCACCATGTCTTTCGGAGGTAATCAACCTCAGCTTTGTAACTTTATGAACGTGGGTTGTTGTTTTTTTTTTTTTTTTTTTTTCTTTTTTTTTTTTTTTAAGTCCAAAAAATGTGAAAGCTGCTTTTTTTGGATAGCCCCAAATCCCGTTTCAAAGGATCTTTGAAATCAACAGACTTTTTTTTTTTTTTTTGAGAGCCCTCCTTTCTAACATGGCAATTCATCATGACTTTCCTGATCTTCCATTTAATGCTGCCTTGTCAGGTATCTGAACAGCAAACCTAACTACTCACATAAGGAACCCAGCCTAGATGGACCACCACTTAAGACAGAGGGACTCCACGGGGCCCCAGGGTCCCCCGATCTGGCGTGCAGCTGGAAAGACATCAAGCCCCACACAGTTGCTCAGTTTTCACATAAAACTGGGACTTTTGTGTCATATCCTCCTGTCTGCTTTCTGATGATCTGAGATGCTTCTCTTCCTTGCCATGAGCTTATTTAAGCAGTGTGGGTAGGTGGGGCAAAGGAAAGAATGTTGCTCTCTTAAGACACTTTTAAAAGATTGAGTTTTAGAATGTGACCCAAAATAGACTAACTCCTTCCACCAGAATCTTTCGGTTACTTTCACTTTGGGGCAAATAAAAATCACCCCTCAGCTATTTGACCTTAGAGTGTCTAATCTTTAAAACAGACAGTTGACCCTCCTTCTCTGAGTGGTTTTAGATCTCAAGGGACATGTGGTGTCATTACAGGGGCCCAACTGTGTACACATTGGGATGGGGGAATTGGTTTCAAACCCCAAAGGTTAGTACTCCCTTTTGCAGACTCCTGTTTATCCCAAATTATTGGAATTCTGCTGAAGGCACACCAAAGCCATTCTGATCGCCTGAGCTCTGCAAAGAAAGAGCGTGGAGAAGCGATACAGTCTGTGAATTTCAGGAGCTTTGGTATTACCGCCTCCGGGAAGCCCCGGCCGTCTGGTTAGACAGGGTGACTGCTGAACAAACCTGCTGGTGGACATGGGCCGGTGGTCAGTGGAGGACTGAAGGGCGATGATCTCAGAGCTGCTCTCATCAGTTAACACCTCTTCTTCCCTAGCATTTCAGAGTGCATTGATAGTGAAGCCGAGACGGTCATGCAGCTCCGAAATGAACTGCGAGACAAGGAGATGAAGCTGACAGACATCCGCCTAGAAGCCCTCAGCTCTGCACACCAGCTCGACCAGCTCCGGGAGGCCATGAACAGGATGCAGGTGAGCCCTGGAGCATGGGCCGAGCCCCACACTGTCTGGGAAGGAGCACCGCTGTCCGCCATGCCCCCCCCGGGGCCACAGAAGATGGCAGCCCTCTGCTTTGCGAGCCTCTTTCTCTCCTCCTCTCTCCTAGTCTCTTTCTTTTCCAAAGAGCAAGGCTCCTTCTCATGCCCTCCCAGATATTGCTCAGAGACGAATCTTTTCAAAGCCCAGGCAGAACCATGCCTCCCCGCTTGGTGTGACTTCCAGTGGCTACGCGTGCCACAGTCCATCCCCCCCCCCCGCCCCCCGCAAGGCTTCTGCGGGGTCCTTTGTACTCAGAATCTGCCACCCCACCCACTTGCAGTTCCACTTCCCAGACTCACCAGCCAGAGGGAGCCCCTGACGGCTCCCTTTGCCGGTGTCAGGAGTTTCTGTGTCATAGCCCTCGTGTTCCCTCTGCCGGGAGAGCCTCCTGCACAGCCAAACTGGATCCTTCCCTCAAGGATTAGCCTCCCCCTCTACAAAGCTTCTCCAGGTCCTGCATCTGCAAGAGTTAGTGCCCTCATCTGAATTCCTCTAGAGGTATTCTCACCTTCCACCCTGGACTAGAAGACATTTGGGTCTTCTGGCTGTTCTTTTTTTGGCACCCCTTTCTCTGGATGCAGCCCCGGTGCTGTGCACATGGTAGGTTTTTTCCTACAGAAGTGCAGAGATGAAAGAGCCCTGTGGGCTCTGCGAAATGGGGCCTCACTGGAGAACCAACATTTCCCAAAGGAGGTTCCACAGAGTGCTTGTTCCATGAGAGGCTCTGAAAGGAGAGCTCCAGGCTCAGCTGTGTGTAGGACTGCTGCACACTCTGCGCCCCGTCTCAGGTCCACCATGCAGAGCAGCTCCTAAAGGCTCTAAGCCCTACGGGAAAGAAACCTGTCAAACCCAGAGTCTGTCGAACCTCTCGGATGGTAAGACTCTTTCTCAGTTGAGAATCAGGCAGCAGGCTCTGGGAAGCATTTCTGAGGTCTTCAAAGGCCAGCTCTCCACAAGGATGGCCCTTGCCCAGCCAGACAGGGTCTTGTGTGTGCGTAAGAACAGCCAGCACGGCTGGACCTCGCCGATGGTGTGGCTGGCCGGGCCTCAGCTCGGATCCCCCACCTGATCCCTGCACAGGACTTTCCCGTCCCTCCCCCAGAAGACGCTTGTTCGTGTTCCATCCACCTGGTAAGCGAGCCTCTCCCTTACTCTTTGCAGAGTGAAATAGAGAAGCTGAAAGCTGAGAATGACCGGCTGAAGTCCGAGTCTCAAGGCAGTGGCTGCAGCCGGGCGCCCTCCCAGGTGTCCCTCTCGGCCTCCCCTAGGCAGTCCATGGGCCTCTCCCAGCACAGCCTGAACCTCACGGAGTCAACCAGCCTGGGTGAGTGGCATCCCGGGGCTACAGGCAGGCCAGGGCCTGCAGCCGGCACTCCACTCTCCTCGCAGGAGTCCCAAGAGAAGCAGATGAAAAGATCAAATGGCGAGGCAACAGGCGTGCGTGCACTTGGGGTGTGTGTGTGTGTCTGGGTGTGCGTCTGCTACCGACATGAGCTCAGCCGTTAGAGTGCTGTCATGCTTTGCTCCAGTGCCCCCAGTTCTCCAGGCCATGAGCTTGGATCCTCTTGTCCACCATGCTGAGTTCTGTTTGATCCATTTTAAGAGGCTGACCTACAAGCCGAATGCTGCATAGAAACCCCATAGTAGCAGGTCCCCGTTGGGGCAGTGGCTTGGTCTGTGGTCTTCCTGCCTTCAGGATGGATTCCCGGCCGGCACCATCATGAGCGAACATAACCTAGGTTTTCTTTGTAAGCACATTGAGGCTGACGCTTTGATTTCTTACCCGTGATGCTGCGTTGCTCTCGTTTTGGTTGAGCCTCCGCCTCGCACTTCCATTTGGCAAGGTGCATCGTCAGCCTGCTGGTTCTTTGGTTGGTCCACCGTTGGTTTCTGTGGTTGCATTCTCCATCTGCCCTCTCCCCTTCCCCCACCCCACTTCCTTGCACCCCGACACCTGGTTTGTCCCGCTGCCGTGCCAACAAGCAGCGGGGGTGTCGGGAAGCCGGCTTTGCTGTCCCCATGTGCCTAAGGCTGTTGATGTTTTCCATTCGCAGACATGTTGCTGGATGACACTGGTGAATGCTCGGCTCGGAAGGAAGGAGGCAGGCATGTTAAGATAGTTGTCAGCTTTCAGGAGGAAATGAAGTGGAAGGAGGTTAGTTGGATCCCTTTCCCTGCTCTGCTTGTCCCTACCTAGCGTAGAGATGGCATCATCAGACCGTATCACCTCAGCACTGAAGGTGATTCGGAGGTACTACTAACACTTTCCTTAACTAACCACGATCCCCAGCAGCATTTTGACACAATTAAAGTAAGCAAACGGCCCTTCCCTCCTCCCTCTCGCGTTTGGAAAGTCTAATAAAGAGTACTAAAGATACTCCCGTGTTGCCCTTGCACGGAACTAACTAAACACTAACATCAGTCGGAAACGGCTTTTCTGAATTTAATGTGTTCCGAAAGCCCTTCAGGGGCAGCTAAGCACATTTAGCGCAGAAGGCACAGAAGCAAGCTGACCCAATGCAGCTGACCAAGAGCACCAGTCTTGTCCAGTGTTCAGAGACCGCAGACAAGGTGTGACACCGACGGGGCCGAGCCACACAGGTGGCTGACGTGAAGCCGGTGGGGCATCCCGACTCCCCAAGACTGAGGAATCTTGAGTTTTCTGAGTAGTTCCTCTTCTCTTCCAGAGCCTGAGGAGGCCACACCCACACTAGGAACTATTTTGGGGGTAGGGGGTGGGGGTTGACAGAGTTGATTTTTAGCCATTGATTGAATCACATGAAGCTGTAATGACCATCTCTCAAATAAGCGGAGAAAGATTTCACGAGGGGTTATTTCAAGTCCTTCTTCAGCTCTTTGTTTGTTGTTTCTCAGCATCCTTGCCGACACGCTGTTTGTCGCCTAGGAGTGCCGGAGAACCCCGCAGTGCCCACCACAGCAGAGCTGTCTGCAGCCAGACTCTCTTTGCCAGAGGATTCCACTGTGTGGCTGGCTCTCTAGTCTTGTTGAAGGTGGGGAGGCCCAGATTTTGGAGCTGCTAGTGATTGTCTCCTCATCTAACCTAAAAATATGTATCTTTTACATATAAAAATAAATATAGTGATTGTCTCCTCATCTAACCTAAAAATATGTATCTTTTACATATAAAAATAAATATAAAGAAGTCTATTTTCAGAGCTTAAGTAGTGGCATGGTAGGACTATCAGGGGGAAAATTCATTCTTAGAACGTTCTTATAAAAAATTCAGGTGATGCCTGGGGATGTGCATTAATCCACTGATCCTCAACAGGAGCAGATAGATTCTACATTTTACAGAAGTTTGAGTCCCTTTTAAAAACTGTGTTGTTCTGGATCACTATGGCATCCAGATGAAGTTGGTCAACCAGACGTTGTTACCTACGTTTTACAACTGAAACCTAGTGCCCAAGCATCATTTACTTGAGGTTACAAGGTAACTGGTGAGGCCAGATCTTCTCACCATAAGACTGGTGCTCTTTTCTCCGCTGATTTTGCTTAACTGCCACATACACCCCTACTCCCCGCTGCCACTCTCCTAATTCTGTATTCTTCTGAGCATGTCAGAGCTAAGATTTTTAAAATGCGACAAAATGGAATATTCTATTAATTTTTCTTTAATCATTGTGATTAGTTAACCCCCCCTGCACAGAGAGCCCTGTGGGTGAAATTCAAAAGCAGTAGAAAAAGTATTTTTTTGTGAACTTCCCAGAGTTTTGCTTGTTTTCTGATTTGAGTATGTTTTAACTTTTAATTAGCAGAAAAGCAATAAACATTATTTAAAAAAGAAGAAAATAATTGAGCGTATTCTATTCTGAAGGAGTTTAAGATCTAGCAAGGAGATAAACTTGATATACAAATAAGACATAAATACCTAAAAGTAAACAAGTACAGAATATGATAATATATCAGTTATGTACAGAACCGGTGAAGCAATATGAGCTCTGAGCCTGGTGGGTTAATCATTGAAGGCTTCCTGGAAGAGGTGAGTTTGTAAACAAGGTTTGGAAAGGGAGAGATGGCAGACAGGAGAGGGGAGAGCATTCCAGGCAAGGGATGTGATCTATGTACTATACAGGGCACACCTTTTGTAGAAGGTTCTAGATTCCAGAGAGGAGATCCTCTCTTCCTGACCCATGGACTACTGTTTTTGCAAGAGAGCAGGGAAAGTTTTTAAGACTATTGTATCCCATCTACATTGTATCTGGTGTTACAACAAATAGGACTTTTATTCCCCCTCTCAAACCATTGGTGGAGTCCTAAGGCAATCTGAGTCCTTGCTAAACTGTGTCAGAAAAGATCCGCCTGTTTTTCACCTGCGTACATTTCCTTACCCTTAGGATTCCAGACCACACCTCTTTCTTATTGGCTGCATTGGAGTTAGTGGCAAGACGAAGTGGGATGTGCTCGATGGGGTGGTTAGACGACTGTTCAAAGTAAGTGTCTTAAGGGGACGGCTACGGTTGTCTGCCTGAAGTGGGGGCCTGGGCTCAGGGAGGGAAGGGGCGGTTTGTGTACTGAACGTGGCCACCGCTTGGGTCTGCCCCCACCCTTGTGTTGCTGGGACTTGTCTCTGGGCACTCTGGTAACGGGGATGGTGAGAACAGACTGGTGATTGGCCAGCCTGTTCCTGGCTACCCTTGGCAGTGGTCGGCCAGCCAGTGAGAGTCATTTCCCTGGCCTCAAGCAGTTTTTTGAGCCTCACATGGTGAACTGCTAATATCCAAATTCTCTCTTCACCTTAGAATTGTGTCCTATTGAATATTACTTTGAATTGACTGCCCTGTGGCCAGGGCTAAGACCTCAAATTTCCATTCTTCATTTCTGGGGGATTTGATCTGACTTGCCCAGCATCCTGGCCAACACTTCAGAGTCTAGGATTTGTGTTTCACGTAACATTAACATCTGATCGATGTCCAGAGTCAAAGATGTTGGCATAGTTATTTTCGTATTCTAGTCACATCACTGGAGTGAGTGCGGATGTTTTTCATGGGAGAAATAACTCATGAATACTGAGGAGAGCCTGCAAGCACAAGGTGGTTTGGAAGAAGCTTTTTGGACCTTTTTTTTCCTACTGTCCTGAAGGGTATCAGCAATCATAAGCGTTCATTAATCATGTCCCCTGAGCATTATTGGTAGCCTGCATTTTTGGTGCCAGAGACCATGCTAACATTACCCCAGTTTACTTCCAGGCCTGTGAGGAAGGTCCTATTATTTTCCCACCTAAAGTGGAGGAAAGCAAGGGTCAGCTCACTTGCCCAAGATCATGGAGCTAGAACACAACCACATTGGTCTAGTTGAGTTGGTCTGACTTTAAAACTTGACTTACCCAGTCCACTCTAGTCTCTTTCTAGCATCTAGATTCAGGTGGCTTCACACGCAGGAAGCCCTGTGTTCCGTTCTCTGGCCAAAGAGCCTTCCCCGTCTTGGCAGGCTGTGGAAATGTGACCGGCCAAGGGATGTGAATGGCTGAGGGCAGACCAGTCCTGCTTCCTAGAGCCAAAACCTGAACTCTGCTGATGGGAAGTTTAATCTTAGATTAAAAAGACAACAGTTTGGGCTGAAAAGAGCCCGTGGGGCGTCACGTGTGAGGAAGTGAGACCATTAAAGGCAGAGAGGCCTGTTCCTGATATTCCACATAGGTCTTCGTCCAGCTACGTCCTCGCCCACGGACCTTCGGTCCAGGTTCACTGACCTAAAGCCTTTTGGTCACTCACCTCAGAGGGCATACTTTCCAAAATAAACACAGTTTTTCCTGTTTAAAGACCCAAAGCTGCTTTTTTTCATACCGCCCTGGGATTTGCTCCCTTTATCCTAAGTGTGGAGTTTGCTATGAGCCAAGAGAAGGGGCTGGTGGGGAGATTCCTTGCCCGAATTACTTTCTCATGAGTTTTCCAGCACGATTCACGGGCCCTGGTGTCTTCAGGACTTCAGCTAAATTTAAGAAAAGCAATCTTAACTTTTCCTTGCCTGGTTCATCCAGACTAAACGTTCACGATTGTGTTAGGGCTCCCTCCACATCACTAACCAAATAAATCTGTACTTGAAGAGGCCTGTGATACTCGGTCATCATCCCCAGAGAAAGCTCTTCCCCCTCCTCTCTCCACAGCTCGGTTTCAACCCAGGCATCAGCTGAGAGAGAAGATGATCATAAATCACCCAAGGAAAACATGAGTCATGGGCAGATTTCTAGCCACATCTTTGACGGGGTCTTGATTTTATTCTTCCCAGGAATACATCATCCACGTCGACCCCGTGAGTCAGCTGGGGCTGAATTCAGATAGCGTTCTGGGCTACAGCATTGGGGAAATCAAGCGCAGCAACACCTCCGAGACCCCCGAGCTTCTTCCCTGTGGCTATCTGGTTGGCGAGAACACGACCATCTCTGTGACCGTCAAAGGTAATTTGGCCGACGGCAGAGGTCGGAGTTTTCAGGACTTGCGGTTTTTGTTTTGTGACTTGGCGTCGGAAACCATGGCCCCAGTTTTGTTTTCACGTGTGTGGGGGTAGGTTTCTCTACCCCTGCAACCACAGTCATTCTTACCTAAGCGAGTTCAATGGCCTTTAGCTTTTTCCACACCCCCGGAAGCAATTTTAGTTTATTGCTGAAATTATATAACAAAAGGTCCCATTAAGCCTTATGACTCTGAGATGTTGGAATCTTAATAGCCCTGCTGAAACGGGGCTCTGCCGATACCCATGGGTTACTCTTGCCAGCTGGCCTTGGACGTGGTCCCGTTCTACAGGTGGGAGCTGCGATTTGCTCGAGGGCCACTCGTGCCCACGCACGGCGCTGCTGGCCCTTCCAGTTGCCGCATCCCCTAGGGATGCTAGGCCCCAGGCCAAAGTGCGTTCCAAGGAACACTAGGCCCACACAGTATTCTTGTGAGGGGAGAATCCTGGCCAAATAAGTCTAGAAAACTGCATCATTAGACCCATTTGTGTTCAGGGGACAGGAAGACAGGAGTGTACGGGTGCGCTAACTCCATCCTCGGGTGCGCTGACTCCTGCCTGTAAGAAGGCTATTGAATCCAGTCTGACACAAATGTATTTGACTGCAAAAGCCCCCTTTCCCCTCTATTTTATGAACCTCCCACCGCCAAAGAATAGATTGATAAACACTGTTCGAAGCTCACCCTTCAGGTTGTCCCATCTTACTTCCCTGTAACTCACAGCTTTTGACTATAGTTTTAACAGGGCACACTTTTGGGGTTGTTTGATGCAAGCTTTGTTTCCTGGTTGGGAGGTTTTCCAGAAGCACCCCACCATTACGTAGGAGCAGGAATTCACGCCTTGCTCTGCCACTGACGAGCCTGACATTACCGCTCGAGTCTCACACACAGCCTTACCTTACCAGCAAGCGCAACTGCACACACGTGGCCTTGGGTGCAAGTGACCGGAACCTACCCCAAATTAGCTTTAGTGTGAATGCTAAACACGTGCCCTGCAATGAGTTCATCAGCAGAACAGTCATTCCCAGGGGGTTTTAAGGCAAAAGACCAAAAGAGCAGTGTGTATGTAGAGAGAGATGTTTTTGTGGGTTTTTTCCTCATTATTAAGTTTAGACGAGAGACCCTGCATTCCGCACTTTGCATCGAGTTTCAGCCATTGTAGGCTACACTGAGCTCAGTACCAGGAAAACCTTAGGCCTGTACCCAGAAGGTAAGTCCTTTAGAAACCTTCATCATGGTCATTCTAGAATAGTCTCCTGCATGTAGGGGCCATTCTTGGTTAGGGGAGGATTAGAAACAAGCATATAAATGCATTTGTGGGGTCTGTTTGCAGTGAATAATTATGTAAAAGGAAGATACTATTATAAAATAGAATAAATGGGGGGCGCCTGGCTGGCTTAGTCAGTAGAGCACACGACTCTTGATCTCGGGCTTGTAAGTTTGAGCCCCACATTGAAGGTAGAGATTACTTAAAAATGAAATCTTAAAAAAAAAATAGACTAAATGCTCTTCAATGTATTTTTTACCTACATACACTAGTTTTCTTAAGGTGAGTTTTAACAGAATTACTTTAGGTTTTAGACAAGTAACCTCGGGTGGATCTTCTCTTGAGAATGATATAAAGAAAACAGTTTTTAAAAAGCCAATGGCCCTGGGTGGCTCAGTAGGTTAAGCATCTGAGTCTTGATTTTGACTCAGGCCATGATCTCAGGGTCTCGGGGTTGAGCCTCACATCAGGCTCCACACTCAGCAGGGAGTCTGCTTCTCGCCCTCTGCCTTTCCCCCTGCTCCTGCACACGCTCTCTTTCTCTCTCTCACTACAAATAAATAAATCTTTAAAAATAAAATAAAAATAAATAGCCAACGGCCCTGGGGCGCCTGGATGGCTCAGTCAGTGAAGTGGCTGCCTTGAGCTCAGATCATGATCCCAGGATCCTGGGATTGAGCCCTGTGTCATGCTCCCTGCTCAGCGGGGAGTCTGCTTCTCCTCCCTCTGCTCCTCCCCTCTGCTCATGCTTTCGCTCTTGCTCTCACTCTCTCAAATAAATAAATAAAATTAAAAAAAAAACAAAAACAGAAACGCCAACAGCCCTGATTGGTGGAGTTGTCCCACGTAGGAAAGAGGAAAGATACGTTTCCTCTTGACATTGTTGAGGCTCAGAGGTCTGGGTGGGTAGCATCTCAGCCTTCGCCTACCAGTCATCACATACCTGAATCAAATGGCATTTCTTTGCTTTCAAGATGAAAGCGTGGTCACCTTTGTGGCATATCTGAGTGTGGGCAGCAGTGGCACAGGGCACGAGAGAGAACAGAGTGACAGGCAACCCCAGGGTCTTGGCAGACACGGGACACTCAGGTTTGGGCTGGGCAGACACCAGCAGCATGGTAAATCCAGAGAGGCAGGCAGAGCCCAGAGTCTTAGGAACTCGGCAGAGGACAGACAGGGCCCTCGGGCCTAGGTGTTAGAGTGAAGTCTGAGTCTGGGCGAGTCAGCCGAGCCAGGTGCTAGACCACACGGTGCTCGTGAGCAGGCTGCAGTGGCTGCCTGCGCTCAGCCTCCCATGTACCCGGGTGGGCAGCAGTCTCAGATGAGTGGCCGCCATGGAAAGAGCTAGGCAGACCCAGGTGGCAAGTGCAGAGCTACCCATTCCACAGGGGTTCAGACCCTTCCTGTCCCTCTCCAACACAGGGCTCGCGGAGAACAGCCTGGACTCGCTGGTATTCGAGTCCCTGATCCCCAAGCCCATCCTGCAGCGCTACGTCTCCCTGCTGGTGGAGCACCGGCGGATCATCCTCTCCGGCCCCAGCGGCACCGGGAAAACCTACTTAGCCAACCGGCTGTCTGAGTATTTGGTGCTGCGGGAGGGACGGGAGCTGACAGATGGTGTCATCGCCACCTTCAACGTGGACCACAAGTCCAGCAAGGTGAGGTCACTTGAAGGCTGCCACCTAGCCAGGGGGTGCTATGTGGCCCTTTCAGAACTGTCGAGGCCACCACTGCCCTGATGGGAAAGCAGTGTTGCCCGGGTGCTCTCCCTTGGGCTTGTGAAAGCCTGGTGGAGGAAGTCAGGATGGGGTAGCAGAAGGGAAGGCTTGAAGTCAAAACTTCCAGTGAGGAGTGCCATCTGTAAGGCGAGCTGGTTCATTTCTCACTTGCCCGCTCTAAGCTGGCTATGATGCTCAGTGCTAGGAGTCCTTTAGGATCACCCCGAAGCATCCATTTTAGTTTACCAAGAATTTGTCGTGTGCCTACTTGGTGCTCTTGTTCCTCCCAAATGAAACGTCCTCTTGAGGAACAGTGATGACACTCATAATATCAGCTCACATCACAGACTGCTTGCCCATGACCAACAAACTGGCCACCTCACGATAGTACCCTCAAGGGAGAGGTCGTGGCTACTCTCCTGTCAGAGAAGGGACCTGAGGCTCGAGGCAGGTGGCCATGTGCCTAGGAGCCGTCGGATGGTACAGAGCAGTGGATTAGGGCTTAAGTCAGCGTCTTGGACTCCAGAGCCAGCAAACAGCCTCAGTCCTGCTTCATGGGGACCGATGGAGACGTCTGGACCTGGTCCCAGGCAAAGATCATGAAGTGGCTTCTCAAACCTGTTCACTGTTCATGCAGTGGGAGGTGATGGATGATTCGCTTGGGCTGGCCCTGAGCAAGGGGACTGGTGAGTCAGAGGCAATTGGGAAATGACTCTTCTGCCTTATGAATCACCCAGCATGCTCAAAGATATAGATTCCTGGACCTCATTCCCAGACGACGGCTTTCAGTAAGTTTCGCAGGCCGGAATCTGCACCATTCAGTTAGCTGGGTGATTTTGATGTCAGGCTAGAACTAGAAGTTGTCAGGGTGCCGGTACCCAGAGTGTCTGTGTGTGAGCCCGCTAAGGGAAGGCACCCTCTTCCAGGACCAGTGAGAGAAGGACCCCAGGCATGTGGCTGGGGATCGAGCCCAGGCTAGATTTCAGCCCCCCTCACGTTCCCCTTGACCAGCACCCTCTGCAGAATCAGCTCACCAACCATACCCCATGAGCCTCAGCAGGGGAAGGAAGGCTCTGGAAACTTGGTCCTTCGCAGGTGCCTGAGACCACGAACCCCTGGTGGAAAGGGGCTAAAGGAAGAAGAAATTACTAGTAACTTAAAAAGTGGGGCTTTTTCTGATGTTAGCAAGCCACACTTTGACTTAAAAGGGAGGCCCGTGTATGTGTTCGTAGGAGGTGGAGGGAGCATCACCCTGTGAGCTCTCAGGCTAGCGCGTAGGACCGTCTGATGTGATAAAGAGCCCACACCGAGGCAGGCCCCGAGTCTGGAGCCAGGCACCTGATTTTGATGTGCCCTAGCCTCCTCATTGGTAAAATGGAGATAATCCCAGTGCCCACCCAAGAAGGTTCCCGTAGGGCTACAGAGATTCTGTGTGTGAGGCTCTAAGTCCCTGACCACTATTGCTATGATGGGAACACCAGCAGGCAGGCATTCTGGTCCCTGGCCGGTCCTCCGCTCACTGTTTCGGCCTTTCCTCTTTGGCACCTTTATCCCTCATCTTCTGACACACATCCCTCACCCCAGCCGGGCTGGGCTGCATCCTAGTTCCAACACAAGTTCAGTCCAGACCTCTTCTCCACAGTTCAGTCCAGACCTTCCAGGGCCCCCTCTGCATGTCGACTCCTCTGCCCTGCATTGTTGGCTGGCTGTGATGGCACTGATCAGCAGTGTGAGCCTGTTGGGGGGGTGGGGGGCGGGGAGCGGTCCTTTGCTGTGCCGATTCATCGAGGGCTTCTGTATAAGTGGCTCTCAGGCAGGTGCTGCGGAAGTACAGAGGTGTATAAGGCACCCGCCCTTGGGAGCTTACTGCAAGGTGGGCATAATAAGCAATATCAAGAAAAATGATAGCACTCGTAGAGAAGTGATTAGAACAGGGATGCAAAACCGTGCCTCAGCACCCCACGGTGTTATGCTCCTGCCCCGGGCAGGTTTTCTATTACCTAGTGCCTCCCAGAAGGCAGGACCCAGGCCTTCCTCACCCCCTGCCCACCCCACATCTCCTGACCACCCCTCCCGGATGATATTGTGTAGCAGATGGGCACTCAACACAGGTTCACCACATGGCCTCCTGAAAGGCCTTTCCGCCTGTGTTGACCTGGGCAAAGTAAAGGCTCTGAGCATGTGCATTTTTATTGGGGTGCGTTCACCCACTTATTCTTCCCCCGGCCTCCCCAGGAATTGCGCCAGTACTTGTCCAACCTTGCTGACCAGTGCACCAGCGAGAACAACGCTGTGGACATGCCCCTCGTCATCATCCTCGACAACCTGCATCACGTCAGCTCCTTGGGCGAGATCTTCAATGGGCTGCTCAACTGCAAGGACCATAAATGGTAAAGGGCAGCTCCCAACCCCATGGCCCCCAGAGGACGGTGGCCACGGGATGTGTGCTGCACGGGCATGGTGCCCGCACAGCCCGGGCTCCGCGTGGGGGGTGGGGGAGGCAAACAGCCATCTGCCTGCACCTGCCGGCGCCAGGGGCTTCCACGAGCACCTCCCCTGGCTTGCTTTTGACTCACAGAGCCGCCTTTTCCTTCCTGTCCCCACAGCCCTTACATAATCGGCACAATGAACCAGGCTACCTCGTCTACTCCCAATCTGCAGCTTCATCACAACTTCAGGTAAGGCACTGCTGTTCGGGCGCCCATGTTGGCCATCGTGCTGAGCGCTGGCCCCGGCGTAACTCATTTCACTCCCACGACAGCCTCAAGGAGTTAGCTAGCTTTATCTTGCAACTGGGAACTTGGAGGCTGAGAGAATTGATTCACACGGGGTCACCTGGCCAGTCGGTGGCAGAGCTGAGACGGAAGCCCAGGTCAGGGTCCCTGAGTCTCCGCCCTGGGGTAGCCGTGTCAAGGCCGCAGCTCTGGGCTTGCCCACCCCCCTCACGTCCCCGGTGATGCATCTCTCTGCCCCAAGTGATGATCGTGAGCGGTGCAAGCTCTTGCTTGTGAGTGTCCCCTCAGAGCTGTGGACCTTTGCACTCCAGCTGCTGGGAGTCCCTCCGCCCCGGCCCCGTACTGGGGTGCGGTCACTGCTGGGATGTGGGAGGGACTGTCCAGCTCAGTCATGCAAGGTCCCGTTGCTGCTGGCCTTGCCATGGCTAGATGCCCTCTGCCCTGTGCCACCTCCCAGGTGACCGCACCCCGCCCCCGCCGCCCCCTGGGCCCTGGGATGCGGCTGAGAAGCCACTCTGGGCTAGGTCCCGGGCACTTTTCCACTGGCCATCGGCAGACATCTCTGAGGGAAATCTATTGAAAGCCGACCCGAACTGTGATCGTCAGAAATGACGACTCCCCCAGGCCCGAGATCATGGCTGCCGCTGCATCCAGGCTGTCCCATCCCATCCGTGGTTTCGCCTCCTGCCCCACCACCACGGCTCCCTGCACCGTCGCTGCAGCCACGGTGCCTGCCCACAGCTCGGCTCCCTGCAGGCCATGTGCTGTGCCAGTGGCAGCTGAGTGAGCATTCTAGAATTCAGATCTCACCAGAAAACCCTCATGCTTAAAACTCCTTCAGTGGCTCCCCACGGCCTCCAAAATGGAATCAGACTCCGTAGGTTGGCAGGTCCAAACACTGCATTACACTGGTCACACTGAATGTCTGGCAGGTTCCCCGAACACCCTACGCGCCTGTGCAGATGCGGCAGCCTGGTCTCCACCCTGCCCCCAGCCCCCTCCTGGTCTCAGACATGCCCTCCTCTGGGAGGCTTCTCTGATTCCCTGGGGTTTGTCACATCTCATTCCTCTGTTTGCTTATCTACTTCCTCCACTAGACCGTGTGCTTCTGGGGAACAGGGTGTGCATCTTAGTCTTGGTTACAGCTCCAGAGGCCAGCACACGGCCTGACTTCCAGCACAAGAGGCAGCAGGCTCGGTGGTCAGAGCTCAGACTCTGGAGCTGGACCATCCTCGTCCTGATCTTAGCCCTTCTATATTAAAGAGCTCTTTGATCTTGGATAAGTTGTGCAGCCTGTGCCTCAGCATTCCCATCTGTGAAATGGGGATGGCAGTCGTAGCTCTGTCACAGGGCCGCCGCGAGGAACTGGGTGCACAGTAGGGCCTGGCCTTGTAACTCCAGATCTAATGAGCTTTGACTGGGGAGGCTGGCATCGTTTTTGTCAGTCATCATCACCGAAAAGCATTGCTGACTCTCCTCCAGGTGGGTGCTTTGTGCCAATCACACGGAGCCCGTGAAGGGCTTCCTTGGCCGGTTCCTGAGGCGGAAGCTCATGGAAACCGAGATCAGTGGGCGAGTGCGGAATGTGGAGCTGGTAAAAATCATCGACTGGATTCCCAAGGTCTGGCATCACCTCAACCGCTTCCTGGAGGCTCACAGCTCCTCAGACGTCACCATAGGTAGGTGGGAGGCCGAGCAGGGGACGGGCACTGCTCCTGGAGCTCTGGCCGCCTCAGACGCGTGTCCTCGGGGCCCTGGCCGGGACGGCACCTGGCAGGCACAAGTCAGCTGGACGCTGCACTGTCCGCACGGGTGAGAGGGGACAGAGGGACGATCACAGCCCAGGGCAGGCCCCGGATGCCGGTCATCTGCATCTGGTGCTGTGTCCCTTTCCCCATCTTTGCACAGTGGACCAGGGCTGATGAGCCGCAGAGCAATGCATCCAGCCCAGGCTGATGCAAAAACTGCCGGCTCTGTGAAGAGCCCCCAGCGCAGGGCTCCCCTAAGCGCAAGCCACCTGGCCACATTGGCTCTGCTTTAAAAATAAAATGCCATCAACATTCCCCGAAGCTTAGGGTTCAGAGAAAAAAAGACCGCTGATCATCCCACCATCTTAACATAATGTTAATTTGAGTTTCTGTTTTCTGTCCTTATCCAGACATGTAGGCTTTGTGTAGTTGCAAGCATAGCATGCACACAGGATGCTCATTTCTTTTTTATTTCACATTGTCCCCTGAGCATCTGTGTTGCTACTCCATTTTCACAGTCCTTCCCAAAGGTTGCAGAGTAATCAAAGTGGCTGTACCATCGTTAGCGTAACCGTTTCTCTTCTCCGACACTGAGTGCACTTCTGTTTCCAGCGGTCAGGGTTCATCCTACTGCAGTGAACATCTCTCTCCATAAAGCCTCTCCTCTCTTTTGGGTGATTTCCTGGGATGGGAGAGAGATCCCAGGGAAGCGGTACTTCTGTTGTCATTCAGAAAATCACAGGGTCCCTCCTGTGGGGTTTGTTCAGACCGTGGCTTCTCTTAACCCCCCAGTTTCAGCTCTGATGGACTTTCCCTGTGGTCCCCAGGCCCCCGGCTCTTCCTGTCATGCCCCATCGATGTGGATGGCTCCAGGGTGTGGTTCACCGACTTGTGGAACTACTCGATTATCCCCTATCTCTTGGAAGCCGTCAGAGAAGGACTCCAGGTGAGGAGCGTGCTTGCCACAGGCCTCCTCAGAAGTGGGGGCGGGATGGGGGGACTGTTCTGGTGACCTGATGAGTTGTCTGTATCTCCTCCTTTAGACGTCTGACTGACCTGGGGTGACAGCCCCTCACGGGGGAGGCCATCAGTCTGGCACAGAGTAGGACGTACTTGGCTGCATATCTTGGTTCTGCCACTGTTAATGTGTGACCCCAGGCAAGCTGTTCAGCCTCTCTGTGCCCTAGTGCCCTGGCTGATAGAAGAGGAGAATGACCATCCTCCACCACAAGCAGTTACTGCGAGGGTTAAGTGCAGTCATGGCCATAAAGCGCCCAGCACAGCGAGCGCACAAGAAATGGAAGCATGCAGTTTGCGAAGTAGTCTCCTCTCTGCTCTTTGACTCAAGCCTGCCTTAGTCCTGGGACTTGAGCAGAGATTTTTTTTTTTTTTTTTTGGTCTCCATTTTTCAGGAGAGGAAAATTAAGGCTCAAAGAGAGTGAGTTGCCCAAGGTCATAAAAGGGACACTTGAAGAAGCTGAGATTTGAGTCCAGGCCTCTAGCTCGAATTCCAGGTTCTGAGGCCTTGGCCCCATAGCACTCACTACCTGCCACCCAGACACCCTCACCCGCCCACTCTGCCCCCCCACCACGACCCTGGGGCCCACGGGGCTACAAGCCCCTACACTGCAGCGACCGGAAGGCAGCATCCTTCACTTCTCATATTCAGCCCAGCCTTGAATGCTAGGGCGGGCTTAGCATTAAATTGGAGCTTGCACTGGTGACACTGTTGAGTCTGGAGGCGGCTGGAGAAGTTTCTAGGCTTGCAGCACACGTGCTGAGTAATGAGCAGGCATCAGGCACAGCTGAAGAGTCCAGGAACCAGCCGGGTTCCCAAGGGCTCCTTGGTTTCCTCCATGCTGGGCAGCTGGAGACCCAGGAGGCTGCTGTGGGCCGGTGGAGGGCACGAGAGGGGGCACACCCACGTGCATGTATGGGGTACGGCCCGTTCATGGCCACAGTGTGTGTCACTGCTGTACGTTTGGCTGCACCTGGCGGACGTGCAGCTGCTTTGTGCCATGCAGCAGTGCCCATGGTTTCAGAGGCTGCCAGGACGTCAAGGACTGGGGAAGGAACGTACCATGCCTCTTGCAGCTCCTGTCTCGAGCTGGAGCATGGGTGTCCCGCAAATGCAGGCCGCCTTGCGGTAATCAAAGCGCACCTGAAGGCAGATTAGCAAGCAGTTAGGCAGTCCCTTGGTCAGCCCCACATCATTGGTTAGTCGTGTGGGAAGACCATTCACTGACGGCCGCCTTTCTCCTGTGTCATGTGGCTTTCATAAAGCAAGGTGTGAGGGATTTCAGATCTTCGCAGTAGAATCTCCCTAGGTAGATAAATTCACTGACCTGGGTCAGCAGACCCTAATTTAGTCTTTAATCAGATGATCTGTTAGTGCCCCAAACTCAAGGAGCCGTGCAGTCATTCCTATTTTCTTGGGCCAGTGGAAGCATCTCCCACATGCTGGATTCTTGAAGTCTGTTTCATTTCAGAAGCCCCCTCCTCTGTTCTCCTTCAGTGGCTTCCTGAGGCTGTGCTATGCCCGGCACCTCTGGGAGACCCCCATGCTGCTCAAAAGAAGTAAGGGAATTAGAGGTGGAGGAAGTGCACCATTTCCTCTTATTTCTGCCTCACCTTTCACTTGTTCATTTGCTTTTTCTTTGCTCCAAATTTATCTTGTAATGAGGGATAAGGAGTGACCTCAGGGCATGCTTGGAAGAACCCATGGTCTCTGTTGGTTAAGGGCCAGCCTCCCTTGTGCAGTGAGGCACAGACCATGAGTGGGGAGACCCAAGGAGTACTCCAGCCTTGAACTACACATCAACTGGCCCCCTGTCGGTCCTCACCCAGGATGGACGTGCCAGGACCCTGCTCCTTTAGACTTGAACTTCAAAGAAAGCCTTCTGGGCATGGCCATAAATGTGGAGTCCAAATGCCCTTCCTGGGGCTCATGGTCAAAGAGCATTGGATCTCTTTCCTACCAAGAGCACGGAGGCAAGAGGTTGAAAGGATTTTGAAAGGATTTGGGGATGGCTATAGAATGTTCCGTCTGGGGCAGGGAACAGAGACATGGCACCATCTCATGGGACTTACCAGTTCAATGTGAAGCAAAAAGAAGTCATTGCTTCCCTGCGCTGTGAGGTCATTTGAAAGACCATCCTTCAAGAGTGTGGGAGCAAGCAGGGGAGGCAGCAGAATTAGCATTTTACCAAGTTGCTCAAAAGTGAGCCACCTTGCCCCAAACCTGTGACCTCATCATCCTGAGGAGCCCAGGAAAACCCCCAGAATCTACTGATTCATGAGGAAACCTGGTGTGTTCTTCAGGCCTCTGGTTTTGAAGGAAAGTATGCTGACATTGATTGAGGGTCTGCTACTTGCTGGGCTGCGAGGGGCCTGATGTGCATGATCTCTTTTAGTTCTAACAGCTCAAAGAGTACCTCATAAATGAGGAAACCAGGCTCACAAGAGTTTTTGACTGTTACCCAAGGTCACTCACTGGGGTGTGATGAGCCAGCATTGGAGCCAGGTCTGGCTGACTCCTCTGTTACTTCTGGGATTTTCAAGCCATCCTGAGGACCCCCTAACTTCCAGAAGCCTCAGGTGGCTCAGGGAACGAAGTATTGTGTTTCATAGGGTGGTTTTCTACAGATTTCATTTAACAAAAGGATTCCTCTGTTTTTTAAAAAGAAAAGTTCGATTCCCCACTCCCCCTGTGTTACCCTGAGTCCATGCTGTGTGCGGGGCCACTCCTCACGGAACCCTGTGAGGTGAGCGAGTGGCCGTGAGGGGACTGTGGTTCAGAGCAGGCAAGCATGGCCTCCCGGCGGCTCCACACATTCTGTGGAGTCAGGAGGCTCACAGAGGCCCAGGTATTCGTTCCCATTGTCTCAGCCCACAGCTCCTGAGCCAGTGGGCATGCCAGGCTCCCCCCTGCCTAGGGGAAGGTGAATATCCCATCTGCCTGTCTCTCTGTCCAGCTGTCTGCTGCTTCCCAGAGCCGCCTCAGGGCTGTGCTGCAGTGGGGTCGAGGAGCTTTTATGATAATTCCTTTGCCTGCCACAGTCCTGACCCAACCATTCATCACCTGGTCTTGAACATGTCTCGTGGCAAGCATGGAAGCTTGTAAAAATATTTTCTGTTATTGCAGATGACGTTCACATGCGCCCGATGTACATTTATCTTATGACTCAGTTCCCAGTCCTGTTCCCCTTTGGAGCCATCATTGTAAACATTTGCCAAAGTGTCTGAAGTCTATAGAGCAGCTCAAAGGACCTGTGTTCTCCTGGTGGGCGGGGAAGAGCGTTGGGCCATTTATCGGATGACACAGCCTGCTCTGAGACCCTGGGCAAGTCTCCTGTCTGTAGGTTCCCTGTCTGTGATCTGAGCAGCTTAGACTGGAAGAGTATTTTCTCCAGCTGGCTTCTGTGGAGCCCAGAAGGTCCTCAGGCTACTCAGTGGTAGGGTCAGGGGAAGAGCAAGTATTTGAAAACCTCTGGGCCATATTATGTCTAAGGACTGGATGAGCTCCACATCCCAGCCTCTTGCTCTGCAGCCCTGAGCCTCTCCTCCTCCAGACTGGCTCTGAAAGTAAGGCCCCAGTTCAGCCTCACGCATGAGGCCTGGCTTGGGAAACGTGGCCCAAACCTCCCTCTGGAGGGAGAAGCTTCTAAAATTGCAGGAATGTTTCTGATGGAGAGCAGCCTTCTTCAGTTCTGAATATGCCCCAAATGCTTGTGTGCTCCCTCCCTTCCTGGCTTGCACACACGTGCACACGCCCTCACCTTCATGTCATCCCTTCTCGCTCGGACCAGGAACAGCCTTTAGAACACCAGACTGAATCCTCGGGCCCAAGACTCACCGCTGCCCCAGGTGAAGGAAGATTTAGCGACAGACAGGTCAGGGTGCTAGACGGGAGGGGTCCAGGCGTCTGAGAAAGCAGTGAGGTCACAGGAGGCTGTGCATGTCTTGAGCGCAGGAAGAGCCAGTCACTAATGGGGAGGGACGGGTGAGCCCCTGGGCCATGCGGGCAGGGTGGGCGGCTTCCCCGACAGATCAGACGTCAAGGTCAGAGGTACCGCAGGCCCCCGTGAATCACCCAGCTGACACACCCTTGTCTGGTGGACACCCTGGTCTGCCTCTCCCTACTCTGGTTTTGGCTGAGTCATGGCTCTGTGTCTCTTGCTGATACCAGGTGGACTCGGTCAGGAGGGGCGGAGAGGGGAAGAAAGGCCCAGACAAGGAAGCTGAGGTCCCGGGTTTGAATCCAGCTCCACTCCGTAACCTTTCACAGCTGGCCCTTCTGTTTAGACCCCGACGACCCCATCCGGGAAACGAGGCCAGGGGACCCCAGTTCCTTCCAGCTGGGGCAGCCTAGGACCTGGATAGGTGTGGTCTGGTCAGTCAGAGCTCAGCTCTGTTCTGGTAGCAAGTCCTCTCTCCCCTCTCCCCTGCAGGAGTTGTGTGAGGGCGGAGGGAGCCTCCCTGCAGACGTGGTGGTTCAGGAGTCTTTGGTCTGTGTACTCCGTGGCCCCCTGTCGAGGGGGTGCTCTCCAGTGCTGGGCGAGCACACCTGCCACGTCTCAGACTCGGTGGTGCATGGAGGCGGACAGACTTGGATTCCCGTCCTGCTGCCTTTCCTCCCTGGGCCTGTCCCCCCTCATCTGGGAGACTCGGGCAGTCCTCCTCCCCCTGAGAGTCACATGGCAGTTCCGCGTGGTATGTGTAAAACGCTGCTGACCCACCATCAGCTGTAAGATGCGGCAGCCGTGGTGACGTTAACGGAGAGAAGATGCAGACGGTGTGATGAAGATGAAGACTATCCTATGCAGAGCCCCGCCTAGGGACGGGCAGCGACCGGTTTCTGTCCTCAGAAGAGATTATAGATTTCTTGACATTGCTAGTAAAAGCCACTGCAATAATCTTATCATTAAATAGTGAAGGCTTAAGAAAAAGCCTTAAATTAAGTGATAACATAGTTTCCTGTCAGTTGTTCTGGACAGTTTTGAAGGATAATAGTTGAGAGACTTAAAATTCCGATACCCGTGCATAACCTCTGTTAACAGGGTGCTGTTTTGAAAGTGACCAGTGCTGCTGTGAGGGGCTTTGAGAGTCCGAGCTGCTTCAAGAAATGGGGTTTTATTGAACCAGGGCTGTTGGTGACCCCCACTGCGGTGTTGATGCCCGGCGCACGATCTCTGTCGGAGGCCATCTTCGGGGGTCCACCCCATGGGATACTAGAACCGACTCGTGTGAGCCGATGGTCAGCACCTCCTTCCAACTCCCAAGTTCAGTGCTACCATATTGGTGGTTTGAAATCGGCCACAGGAGGAGTATTTACACCACAGAACTTGGCGCATGCTTCAAATCATGCAGTTGGGGGTCCCTCTCCCCAAGTGGCTACTTTTCAGATTGGATCAGCAAAGCGTAGAGTTTAGGGTGACACGGTGAGGCAGTGGCAGAGCTAAGATGTGGACCCAGGTCAGCCTGACTCCAAAGCCAGCACCTTTGACCCTTAGGTCATGTTGTCTTCAGTCTTGGCACATCAAGCTGTGGGTACCTCGGGTGGCTTCCTTCCTTAGAATTATGGAAGTGCAGTTACTCCATCAGGGAGGGCATGATGCTGGGCTTGAAGAGGTTTCTGAAGGCTGCACAACCAGGGCTGCAGAGGAAGTCTCGGGCCAGTCCCAGACTATTCCTTCTTTGCCTGTTTTCAGCTCTATGGAAGGCGGGCCCCCTGGGAGGATCCCGCCAAGTGGGTGATGGACACCTACCCCTGGGCAGCCAGCCCACAGCAACATGAGTGGCCTCCCCTGCTGCAGCTCCGGCCTGAGGATGTCGGCTTTGACGGCTACTCCATGCCTCGGGAAGGGTCTGCGAGCAAGCAGATGCCCCCCAGTGATGCTGAAGGAGACCCACTGGTAAGTCTCCGCTCTCAGAGCAGCACAGCATTTACTGAGCACTTACTGTATATTGGGCGTGATGCAAGGCATGCTGGGAATAGAGACGTGACTGAGCCAGAGTCTCTCTTTGGAAGGCTGGACCCACCCCAAGGTTAGTCACACTTTTGCCAGCGTTATCTCCCATGGGGTCAGTTTTTCACTACGGCCTTTAACCCTCTGAAATTTGTTGCGGTATAAGGTAAAAGGTTACAAATGTGATTTTTCCCAACCTAAACGCCCCCGTCCCACTCTCTGCCCCCTGATTAGAGTACCAACTTTATCACGTACTGTCCTGCCCCATTCATCTCTCCCACTAGTGACAGAGCAGAGGCGGAGATTGCTAAGGAGCAGAAGCCGAGCCAACTGATCAGATGCACAGGCAGGGAGAGGTGTCAGGGCATGAGGGACTCCCAGAGGACAGGGAAGCCTGAATACGGGTCCCAAGGCCAGCGACCTGAGTTAAGTCGGTGTAACGCTGCCTGCGCTGCTTATTTACCCCACTATTGCGAAAGCAAATAAAGGCCCTTTGAGAAGAACCTGGACCAGGGACGATAACACTATAATTACAGTGTTCTCTGCCTACATAAGACCCATATACAGTCATATTGCAAAATTAGACCTAATAAATCAGAAGCTCTATTAAAGAAGGTGGAAGCACATACCCCAGAGCCTCCCATACTTAAGTGACCATTATCATGCCTTCAGTTTACCCTTGAGCTCCCTTGGCAGCTAAGGCAAGAGGAAAAACACAGCAGAAAATATGACTTGCATTACTTAACGAAAGAACATATTCATAAGGGATGCAGCAGAATTAAAAGACAGCTGACTTGTTCTTTCCCTGATGACTAATTGATTTGCTAGATAAAAATCATCATCATCGTCATCATCATCATCACTGCTTTGGCTGTCTGCCATCCTCCTCACTGGCAGGAAGGAGCTGGGGTCCTGCTGAGCTTTCTTGTAAACAGGAACTGTATTTTAAATGGGAGTTATTATGTTACTATGCACAACCTAATGTACAGTGTTTACAGCGATGGTTTTGCAGAAGAAAGGACCAGACTTGAAAACGCCATGTCTAACATGAATTATGGCTAAAGCCAGAGTCGTGGAGATGTTTCTGTGGTTGCCAGCTTATGAGCTCTCTTTCCTTACATAAAAATAGAATTTAGGAGATCTCTAGAGGAAAGCATGGCTCCCTCATCCCCAGACCCCTCTTCTGTTACCCGGGAGTATTTGTGTCACGGACTAAACGTAAGGGCATTTAGGTGAAAGCTGGAGTTCTTAGAATAGTTACACAGACCTCTCCCTCCAACCCCAGGTCCCCCAAAGTGAGCTGTGCCAGCTCAAGTACCCCCACTATCAAATAGATACTTGTGTTTCTCCCTTCCCAGGGCCCGAGGTCTCTTGTTAACTGGTCTCTCTCTCCCTCATGAGACTGAGACCTACAGGAGAGGAGGACTGTGGTTTTTGTTCGAGAACACGCACTGTAAATACACTGGGGCTGTTTGATGAGTGAATAATCTTGGCTGCCATGGATTGCCCCTTGTACTTCGGCTCCACTTCCCCCGTCACGGCTACACCAAAAGGCACTGCTGATGGTGGTTCTGCTCCCTGGCTCACCCAAGGAGACGGCAAGGCATTCCGAGGGGCAGCTGGCTAGGAAGCAGCTGGATTTCATGCCCAGCTGCATCATGTCTTGGCCTTAGCTCAGAGAGACCCTACTTTCTAACTGACTTGCTACATAAAATATAAAAGACACAATTTAAAGTTGCAAGTAAAATTAGTTGCTAGTTCTCCCTTTCACTCGCAAACAACCAATAGACTGTAGACTGGGAAGGTCTCAGAACACTCTTTAAACTCTCAACGTCAAATGATGATGACGGTAGCAGATCTCATCTCTTGAGCACTTCACACGTGCCAGGCCCTCTTCTGAGGGTCTAATGCACATCCCGTCCTTTTGTTATCTCCCTCAACCCCGTGAGATACGGGTGCTCCTGTTCTCTCTGCTCTGCGCATGAGGACCTGGGGGCTCAGATATGGTAGGTAATTTGCCCGGAGTTTCCTGCCTTGGAATCCAGGCCCCTCTGTGCTTTGTGGCTCTGCCTGTAACTGGTGCTCTCCTTTACCTCCCACGGTGGCCTCGGCAGGAGTGGGAGCACAGCGGGCTCCAGGCTGCCCTCTGGCCGGAGCCAGACATACCCGCGGGCTTGGTGCTCCCTGAACGGGGAGCCGTGTGCTTCAGATGTCAGTGGGGCTGAGCCAGCTTGACTGGCATCTTTACGCCGTCTGAGGGCTGTGCTTGGGTAAGGGGTAAGCTGTGTCACTTGCAAATAAAAAATAAATTCTGTATTCCTGGAAGACTTCCTATTTTGTTTTCTGTGCTCAGCATATTTTCACTCAGTCCACACCCACAACCTCGTAGGACAGGTATGCTTGTTCTCATGTGGCCAATGAAGAAGCTGAGACACAAAAAGGTTAAGTAACTTACCCAAGGTTATGCGGCTCGTAAGTGGTAGAGACAGGGCTGGAACCCTGGAAGCCTGGCCCCAAGTCCACAGTTGGTTTTTTGTTTTTGTTTTGTTTTTTTGTTTTTTTGGTGTTTGTCCACGGCCTCCACTGTGGGCTGCAACCCGGGGTGCATCTGGAGGACAGAGCACGAGCTTGGAAAAGGCCAGAGGAGGACGGCTGCCAGGCTGAAAGCCGCTCACACTCTTGCTCTCTCCCCAGATGAACATGCTGATGAGGCTGCAGGAGGCGGCCAACTACTCTAGCCCCCAGAGCTACGACAGCGACTCCAACAGCAACAGCCATCATGACGACATCCTGGACTCGTCCCTAGAGTCGACTCTGTGACAGGGGCCAGCCGTGGAGCCTGCCCGCCTCCCCGCTCCCTGCCCTGCTCCACCTGCGTGCCCCGCACCCTCCTGAAGATGCCCTCCTGAGCCAGCCCCCCGGCCGCGGCACCGAGAGCTGCAGGGATACCCAGACCCCTCCCCCTCCAGCCCCGACCTGGGTGCGGGCCTCCCAGGCCAGCCGCCTTGGCACTGCTCCCCTCCACAGGGAGACCTGCACTAGCTTCTTGTTTATTTTCATTATCGTTTGCCTTGTTGCCGTGACCTCCCTAAGACACTGAAGGTACTTCTCGGGAAAGGATCGTCACTGTTGAAATGAAAAGGTTCTAAAGAAAACAAAAAAAACCAAGAACCCGCTTGGAAGCTCCTGAAACCAAACAGCATCCTGCGGCGAGCTACCCAGAGCAGAAGAGACTGGAGCCACGCCGGAAATGAGGGCAACACAGCTTCCCCTCGGCACAGAGCCTCCGGACTGGGTCTTGCCGCCCCCAGCCTGCATCTGCCTCCCCGCCTCCCCCGCGGCCGGCCACCCAGAGAGCTGGTGCTAACAGGGCGGGCGCGGCTTGGGTCCCACTCGGCGGACTGCGCAGCTACGGCGCAGGGACACCGCAGGGGAACGCGAAGCGCGCTCGCTGTTTTGTTCTGCTTCTTAAATGGTGCTCTCCTTACCTGAGAGGTATTTTTGCCTGTTCCCGTCCAGCCCCACCTTCCAGACCCGTCAGCCTCCAGTCGATCCTGAGCGTGAGTGGAACGTGCGCGAGCGGATGTGGCCACGATGCAGACAGCCCGTGTCTACTTCCCCCTCCTGTCTCAATGAATCAGGTTTTTCTTTCTGCAAACACTGTGGACAGTGAGAATTGGTCTGTTTTGGAGAACTGGTTACCCCCTTGCAAATGAGGTTGAGTTTCCTTCCTTTTCTGACTCTTTGATTTTGAAGATTTTTCCTCCCCCCCCCCCACCTTTGGTCAGAATCAGTCCTTTGGTGAAAGAAAAGAACCGCAGGAGTTGAGTTTCGGTTTGGTCCTGCTGAGTTCTGGTTGTTCAGTTGTCCATCCTCACGGTTTTACACCTTGCCGCGCCCTGCTAGGGCCGGCGGTGGGGGGTGGGGGGTCACGTCCTTTCTAGTGGACCAGGACCCCATCCTCCACGTGTGGGTGAGCGGGGACCTTGCCTTTCCTTCTCGTCCTCGAGGCTTCAGAACGCACATCGACACCTCAGGCGTGCCAGCCCCAACCTCAGGTGGGGTGCTGAGGTCACCTCGCACAAGACTTGCACTTTCCTCAGAACCAACGTGACACAACTCCACAGGGGGCCGGAGTCCGCTCCCTTTCAGAAGCCCCGGCCCCCGTCCGGATGAGTCTTGCCTGACCTCTTCGGTGCTGACCTTCCCAAAGCGATGCCTTACTGGTTTTGTACTAACCGTGTTCATTTACGAGTGTTGTGCCTGCCTGGGGTCCATTAGTTTTTTTGTTTGTTTTCCCCATCAGAGCAAACAGGGCTAAAAAGTCATCTACTCATTAGGGGGACTCAAGTTGCTGTGACTTTTCTCATCCAAAAGACTCATTTGTGTGGATGTGTGACCATGGGTAAAAGGAAAAAGGAGAAAAAAAAAAAAAAGATGCCTTTTTTTTTTTTAGGTTCTTATCAGTCTCCAGCTAACACTCTGCCTGGACAGTGATCTGTCTGATGCAGGAAAAGGCAAAAGTTCCTACAAGTCCGTAAGACATTGCTGATGTATACCCTGCTAGGATGTGTCTTCAACATACTGGTATTTCCTTTACAGAGAGTGGTAAAACTCTAAGTTGTTTGTTTCTGCTTTATAAAGAGAATCTTCATCGGACCCCAGTGGGGGTGTCTCTGTTAACAATCAGGGTTTTTATTCCACCTTCCACATTTCTATTTCTGAAGGTCCATCTCTGTACCTTTTTTTTTTCATTCTCTTACCACAAGAACTTGACCTGAAACTACTCGCATGACATTGGATGACACCATTTTCTTCCTCCTTAGAGGAAAAGGAGAAATGTGTCCCACTAGCTGGTGAATGGAAAAGCTCTCCGTGCTGTCCTTCTTTCATCTCCGTAAACTCAGACTCTCTTGCACACAGCCTTCATTAGCCATCTGGATGTGTGAGTGTGTCTTGTTCTGTTTTGTTTTTTCATAAAAATTTTAAACCATGAATTTAGCCTGTGACCACGGGCCACACCCTGAGCCTTCTGGTAAACCTGAAGAGTGGTCCTTCTCAATCTCGTTTCCCAACAATGACCTTACACGCTCATACTGTGAATTTGGGAGGAGGTAAAATGGACTTCTCCTTGGGGGCAGTTTTCCCAGTCACCTTGTGAGTAGACACCTGCCAATATTGTTTGAAACCCCCCCCCTTTTTTTTTCAATTGACACATTTTCTGTCTTCTCCCGTCCTACAGACTTCCCTCCCGCTGGGTCCAGGCTCAGAACCGAGACCTCTGTCCCTGGTACTGCCTAACTAGTGACCGGTGATTTCAAGTAGTGTAGCCCTTGTGTGATTCACAACTCTGTGTCCTTCCTAAAGTTTCGGGAAGCAGGGTTGTCTGATATGCACATTTCTTATTTTGGTCATATTTTACTTTAGTGTCGCTCACCTTTGACAAAGTGACTTTGTACTCATTTAGGGCTCTGTCCGAAATGCTTCCATTTTGCCTTTTTCTACAGTTAGGCTAATTTTGAAATGTATGAAATTCTATGCAACATTTATGTTGAGTTACCAATGGAAGCCAAAAGTCTTCTTTCCAAACTGCCAAGAATTGTACAGGCCATAAATGAGACGGGAATATCTTTTAATTTAAGTTTGGGGTGGGGGAGGGGTGGGACAAGGAACAAGACTTGCCTAGACCTTTGTTGTGTCTTGGGGACATTTTTTATTTCACTGTCGATGCTTCAACTTCGAAATTCTGTGTACTCAAATTCGATCGTGGCGAATCTACTTCAAAAGGAAAAAAAAATAATCCAGCTTTGTGGATATTAAATGGAAGGTTTGCTGTTTTAACCTAGTTGTTTCCAGTGGAGCAGTTTATGAAATATGTCCTATAAGATGTACATTTTTTCATTGTAACATAGAAATTGTAAATAATCGATTAAAGTGCTGCATTTTGATGAATTTTTTCTAGCCATTTTTAAAGAGAAAACTAGGAATTGAGTATTTTGTGTACGGTATGTTTCCTTCCTCCTTCCCTCCCGCCCTCCCTATTTAATTTTCATTTGTCATGAGGTTTTTGGATTTGCCAATGATCTACTGGAGATCATGCCCCACGTCATAGAGAATAAAGCTGATGATTGTACCAGTCTTAAATTATTCATGATTCAATAAAATTGATGCTTATTTATTCAGATTAGTGGTTTGGCTTTTCTGTGCTCGAGCAAGTCCTTGTCAGAGTTGAATTTCATGCCAACAGCACGCCGTTCTTCCTTGGGTAGAGCCAACGGAGAGCCCTGAGGCCGAGCAAGCCTACCTTCGTCACGAGACCATCAACATCTATCCTCCCCTTCTCCGTTCCTCCTCTAACGTGTTGCTACTTGTGTGGAGCTTATTGGAAATGCACAACTTCGGACTCCTCTCAAATTTTATGAATCCTTGGGGATCCTGTGGACATGCAGATTCTGACTGGGTAGGTCCGGGGTGTGGCCAGAGATTCTTGATTTCTAACCTCCTCCCGGGTGATGCTGGTGCTCTGGGCCCTTCACGCTGGGAACAGCAGGCTCTATCAGTATCCAGGCGGACTGCCGTTTGACTCCGTGGCACAGGAAAAGGTGTTTTGTTTTGTTTTTTTTAAATGTATTGAATACCTATTAATAGCCGAATTGCTTTCCCAAACGCTCTAGTATAATCTGCAAAAGGACCCTGAGGAGGTAAATACTGCAACTTCCAATTTATAAGTGAACAAAACAGGCTCAGAGAAAGCCACTTGCCAAGGCTCCTGTCCGCTAAGAGGGGTGGGAGCTGGGAGTTCCAGCCCCATCTTCCAAATCCAAAGCTGGCCTCGCTGGGCTGCCTCTGATCTTAGGGGCCCTGTTCCACATAGCAGCTGGTGGCCATCGCAGGGCATGGCAAGGAGATCACCTCTTAGCCTTCACTTTTAACAGCAGCAACAAAAACTTTAAAGGCTTGAAGTGAGGCCTGTGGGTTCGTTGTGAAATCGATCCTCCACTGCAGACTCGGCTGCCAGTGATGTGAGAGGCCCAGCTCCTACTGTGCACCACAACAGCTCAGCCAAGGAGACAGAATCCAGATGCTCAACAGTTTCTAAGGCCGGTCAGAAAGAATGAAGGGGAGCTGGTGCAATGGTTCGGCAGCTAGATACCCTGAATTTCTAAGATTTCCCATGTCAGATATTCTAGCCATAGCCACACAGTCTGTTCTGATGTTCTCAAGGAAATAGGATCAGCGTAGGTAAAGGGCATGATGACTTCAAAACCACCATATCTGGTTCTAAAACCCACGCCCTTTCTGCTACAGTCTCCTTGGGTTGGACTTTGGGGGGAGGCTTATGCTTCCCTTCTACACCCGTTACCTACTGCTGTGTAACAAATGATCCTCAAAACTTAGCAGCTTAAAGCAACAAACATTTTTTCTCTGTGTGAAGCAGTAGTCAATGTGGCTTAGCTGGGTCTTCTGACTGGGACTTTCTCACAAGGCTGCAATCAGCAGGTCTTAAATATTTAAATATTAGAAGTAGGAACTATAGAAAGCATCGTTCATTTTATTAAGTAATTTCTACACCCAGCGTAGGGCTTGAACTCACAAGCCCGAGATCAAGAGTTGCACGCTCCACTCACTGAGCCAGCTGGGTGCTCCAGAAAGCATCATATTTAATGATAAACTGTCAAATGTTATCTTGTTTAGATTAGGAGGCAGATAAAGATGATTCCTGTCAGCACTTAACATCACAGTAGAGACCCTAACCAGTAGACTGAAGCAAGAGGATTGGAAAGGAAAAAAAAAAAAAATCACACTTTTTATTCACAGATAACATTATGTTCTTAGATAATCCAAAAGAATTCACAGACATTATTAGAAATAATGAGTTGAATACATTAGCTGGATACAAAATCAATACATGAAAATCAACTGAATAGGGGTGCCTGGCTGGTTCAGT